CAAAAGCATCTGCTTTACCTAATTCTTTTGGCGTATATAGGAATGTTAAAAAGTTGTGCGAAGCCTAATCTACAAAAATTCAATTATCAAATGGAATGGATTAAGTTTGGTTTGATTTATATATTATCGATTTTATTTTGGTTTTAATAGAGAAATTTGAAATTTTTTTATTCAATTTGTTTTATATTAAACCTACAAAAAAAAAACCTTGAATCTCTTCCATTTTTTTATTCTATATAAAATAAGTCATTTAATTCGATATGATTATATACATTATTTAATTTAATTCGGTGTATATTTAAGAAATTTTGATCGAATTTATATTAATTCGATTCAACTTGAATCGAGTAAGCATAATATTTAGAAATTAACAATAATAAACTTTGGGCGTCGGGAGTGATGCTTACAACATCTAATAAATGTCTATACCATAAGAGTATCAACGGAACTTAAATATAATTTACTGTTTGAGCCACTCCTTATGGATTAAGAGAATCGATTTATTATAAAACTATTAGTTTAATGAATTTTAATTTTCGTTTTAAGTTTATTATTTGTTTTAAAATGTGTATTGCAATTTATTCCTTTATTAATTGAAGTATTTTTTTGGTGGAATATTAATGTGAGTATTTTATTTTTATTAGAAAATGTGAACGGAAGCTTTTCCTATAATTATTAAATTAAAACTGCTTTATTCCAGTTAATAGTAGCTAGCCTAATGCATTATTAATATTGACGATATGTAGTACGCGGACACACTTTTTAGTTTTTAGATAAAAGATGTCTTTAAAATAATATTTTTAATAATACCGTCCCACAAAGATAGATCAATTTATATTTTTATTTAGATTAAGAAAATTATTTTTTTTTAGAAAAATCAAATTAAAATTTTATTAATTAGAAACTGTATATAGATATGGAATACAAATTGATATGTTTTATATTTTTATATAGAAATAACTCAGAACTAAATTTTAAGATAAAATTTCAATATATAGGAAATAATAAATTTCAATATATATGCGATAATAAAGATCTATAAACAGATCTGATGATTATTTGTAAAATATCAAATAAAAAAGGAAAAGGTGACCAAAAAAAGAAAATAGTGGTTTAAGATTTTCGGAGAAAGAGAGAAAATTAGTTGATATAATTTGAAAAGTAAAATTTATCTATAACTTTTTAATATATGCTAAATCAATATTATATGTCACTTAAAATAAATAAATCCGATCGAAAGTTATTAATAATAAGGCAGATTAAATAGGGGTATAGTAGTTAAACAATTAAATAGACCAGAAAATACAGTCTATATGGTTAAATAATTCTTTTAGGTAGCGTTTTCTTAATAAACCCTCATAGTAAATAATCCATATTTCAAAGTTATGGATTACTAACATAGATAGCAATAATACTCACTTCATTTATTTCAAATTTTGATTATAATTATATAATTGTTTTGATCGAGATGTATATTAAATGGAGGTAAAATAGAAAAAAATAAGATTATCCTCTTTTAAAAAATGAAATAAGATTATAATATTTGAAAGTAAAAAAGAAAAATAGACCTACTATTATACGATGGAGGAAGTACTAAATTTAAATTAACTAGTATTAGCATCGGCGTGATGCGCAGAGCAGCATTAAAAGATGAAATAATTTTTTATAACGTCATTTAAAAATAATAAAATGATCGTGAAATGTATTATAAATACCTGAATCCATTTAAATACCCGATTAGAAATTAAGTACTTAAACCCATTTAGAAATTCACCTTTAATAATTGAACTTATCCCAAACCTGATTATAATACCTATTTAAATATCCAAACCCATTTAAATACTCGTTTACATTAAAATTTTTTTATTTTTCAAAAATGAAAAATAAGTAAGAATTATAAAATTATTATTTTGATTTAATAAAAAAATATAATATAAATATTCCCATTTAAATAGCTCGTCTTACATTAAAATTTTTTATTTTTCAAACATGAAAAATAAGTAGAATTATAAATTATTATTGATTAATAAATAAAATATAATATAACATATTAAACTATAATGCAATAGCATTAATTATAATTAAAAAAAGGGGTCTTATATATATATATATTTTTTTTGTTCTTTAGAAAAATCATTATTTAAATATTCTTTAGAATATTAATTAAACAGGTAGCAGGAATTATAATTAAAAAGGTATATATATATATTTTTTTTTTCTTTAGAAAAATAATTATTTTAAATATTTTTAGAATATTAATTAAACAGGTAGCAGGTACCTGAGTCCTTGAACTTCACCTGAATTCGATATAAGTAGTAAAAATACTATCCAAATCCGTCCCAAATCCATGATGAGTGATTAACTTAATAAACTTAATTAAGTTTAGAACTATAAATAATAGCGGACCTAATCCAAATAATTAGGGATTAAAAAATAACTTTACTTGATTGTGGGGTAAAATTATTTAAAAAAAAGGATTTAAACTGAAAATTGTTTTTCTTTTTTAAATAGCCATATTCCCTTAAATTTTTGTCTGTGTTGCCACAATCTTTAAATCTTAATCAAAATTAAATTAACTAAAGTATTATTAGTAGTATCATTAATCATTAATATGCCATAAATTATTACTATTATTATTAGTTTACTATTAATATTTATAAAAATATTATATTTTAAATGCTTTCAAGTTAAGAATCAAAATTATTTTCGAAATTGACTCAACTCACTCAGTCTTGAAGTCTCGTGCTTACTCTAATATTGTACAGGACGGGGATCTTTTCCCAATTCTATTTATTTATTTATTTGTTCAAATGTACGGCAGTTTGCTTAATGCGGACTATGCTGGAAATCACAAAGGAAAGTATTTATTTCGTGTTTGATGTTTTATAAAAATATTCAATTCGTAATCATATTTTTGTATATTAATTATTTAGTCTTTAAAAGATCCAAAATCCCTGGCGCTAAAAGACAAAAACCTTGTCTCATTGTGGGTTGGGCAAACTTTCTATTGTTTGCGTTGCATAGGCGGTCATCTTGTATGGCTAATAAGAAAGGAAAAGAAGAGAGGGCGACGGTAATAGAGGTTTGCCCAATGGTTGGCGGCGGTGCAAGAAGGAAATCACCCATGTCATTAAAGCACTTTCACCCTTTAAATACCACATCTCTATATAACATACACTCAACCGTAACTAATTTACCCCTATCCTTCCATTCTGTTTTTCTGCAAAAGACACACACCAGCAAGTTTCGACCCACATTTAATAGTTGATGATGGTTCTAAGTTCGTCTCGGACTAGATTCTCGAAAATAATTGACAGTTCTACACAGATTATGGATCAGTCGATTGGTAAAGTAAATTTTAAATCCTACCATTGTTTAAGTCGATTTGAATAATCGGAGCTATCCGATTTACATTAAATTTTGACTTTTTGATCGATCTAAATTGCTCCAAAGGTATTGTGAACTGTGCGCTTTGTTGATTCTTGTGGGTTCTTCTTGAAGTGAAAAACAAATATAAAAAATTTCATTATATCATTAATGGTTGATTTTTCATTCGACGTGTTCATGACCAAACTTATGACAAACAACAGAGTAGCACCAATATACTTGGACAGAGAGATTGATGCATTAACAAGAGAGAATCCAAATGTTTCAGTTGTTGTTTCCTACTATTAAATGTTGTTGATGGACGAGAATTAAAGGAAGAGAGAAAACGTGGGATTGAAGATAGAGAGACACAAATATCATATAAAAGAAAAATAAAAAAAAAATTTTAGTGAAGGTAGCATTTGTCATTAAAAAATATTATTTATCCTCTCTCTTCTTTTCTAGTCTTATTTAATGGAAAAAATCATTTATTTGTATAAAAGGACCATTTAACTGAGAGAGAACTAAATCTCAGAAATTAAATAATTAATATTAAAAAATATGAGGATGCGTTGAATAAGTTTGTAAATCTCATTGATTAAATAAATATTTTCCCAATTACAAATGAGAGTTAAAACTATTTTCAACAGCTGACACGTAATAAACTGGTAAATGGGACCCACTATTATCCCCATTCTATTCTAGCAGCTTATCACACGCGAGTCCTGTGATCTCCGCCCGCTCACCAGAGTGAATTACTAAAAACGCCAATTTATATAATCATTCCTTACAAAAATTAAATTTCTTTTTGATAATTGTTATTTAATTAAGGGAGGTTTGTTTAAGTGAGAAGCACTCACATACATTCTATGGATAAAAAACAAGTTAAGAGCCATAAGCCAAAAAAAAAAAAAATAAAGAAATAATGAAAACAGAAAATGATAAGGTTTTAAAATTATTGAAATCCATCTTAAAAGTGTGAAACTTTTTGAATTATTTTTATGTTGAAAAATAATTTTTAAAGTAGATCCTATATATATATATATATATATATATTCTAATTAAGTGAAAAAATTATAACAATGAAAGATGATAAATGAAAACAAATCTTGAATTTTTTTTAGAGTATAAGACCCCAAAATGCACACTACATACTTTCATAGATAAATATATGCACTATTAGAAAAACTAAATATTAAACATAATACTCTAAATACAAAATATTAAAGGTATATGTAACTTTTTCACTGGGACTCACACCCAACCTCATTAGCTACATTTTTGTAATAGTAATATTTAGAAAAAAAAGAGTAATTTTTTAATAAAAAAAATTGTTGAAAATTTTTTAATAAAAAAAATTGTTGAAAAATTTTTAATCAGAAGATAAAAAAACTTAAAATAATGAATTAAAAATTAAATAATTTTTAATAATTTTGATTTCTGGTAAATAAAATAAAATAAATAAAACATCAACTCTCATGCTCTCCACTCTACAGCTCTTTACTGTTACCTTTTTTATCTCACACAGGCACACTGTCTCTGTCTCTCTACATGTAGACTTTACCAATATCTAATTTCTGACTTCTCTTTGCATATAAAGTGTTAATGTTTACTTCTTGATTGAAAGTGCAGTTATCCTTTGATTAAGGGCATCGCTTCAAAGACAAGAAAAATATAAATGTAAATAAAATTTTAAAAAAAAAAAAAGAAGAAAAAGCTAAATTAACAGTAATCACAGGCTCACCCTTCTGTCTATAGGACTCTGACCAGAGGAGAGTGATGATGATGTTCTTCTTCTACACTCATTAGCTTCTTCTCTTTGTCTGTCTCTTCTAGCAGATCTACTCTGTAGTACTCTCTTTGTCTCTTCGAAAAAGATCTCTCTGTTGAAGACTCGTTTATCCTTCCATGCACTGCTCTTTCTCTTTTGCTCACAACATTGCTCTTTTTATTTTCTGAATCAAGGTAATCTCCTAATTTCCTTCTTTGTCTCTCTGTTTCTTGCACTACAAAGAGTTTTCTTCTTTGCATTTTCTCGGTAACCAAACGGAAGGTCTGGATTTTATTTTCCTTTTTTCTTTTTTTTCCCTTGAAAGTAAATTGCTAATTTTATTGAGCTGTAAGGCGAGAATTTATGGTTTCTTTCTTTCTGTTTGTTTCTTCCTATTTTATTTTAATTAACTTTCGAAATCATCGGTTCTGCATTTTTATTAATTTTTGATTGCCAACTCAAATTTTGGTTGATTACTCGGCTAATTTCTTTTTTATTATTATTTTTTTAATTTGGTGAAGTTAATTTCGGTTGATTGAGTTCGTTCAATAATGGCGTCAAAGCAAGGATCAAAATCGAAGAGGTTAGGTTCGAGAAGTTCAAAAGCTGCCAATTCTCCTTCTTCTTCAACGACATCATCTTCTAAACATTTTCTGGAAACCTCCATAGACGGTCAGAGCTCCCCTGCATCATCGTCTGCTCGAAGCAAGCCACAGTATTTTTACTCAGAAAGCATGCCTTTAGATGTGGAGAGATCCAAAGAAAATGTTACCGTTACAGTTCGTTTTCGTCCATTAAGGTCTGCATTTCACTGCCCTTTCTTGCATTCTCTTGTTTTTCCTTAGTAAATGGGTTAGCCGCGAGTGGTCTGTTCATTTCATACTTGGTTATGTAGTCCTAGGGAAATTCGTCAAGGGGAGGAGATTGCTTGGTATGCTGATGGAGAAACTATTGTCAGAAACGAACACAATCCAACAATCGCATATGCTTATGGTTAGTTGATGTTGCATCAGTAATTTGAGCTTAATGCTCCTCAAATTAATCCATAAATAGCTAAAGTAAAATCAAACATGCTCTTCTATGTTCTGCTTAAAAAGTTTGCGAGACACAAGGCAATGTTGAGATTAAGGCCATATGCATGAATAGTTTACATTAAAAGTCCAATTAAACTGCCATAGAAGGTTTATAATTTATTTCAGTGCAAAATCACCATCCAATTTACCAATTTTTAGAAGCTTCTGAATTGCACAGGATCTACTGTATGCTTGCACAAAATTGCATTGAAATTGGTGAATATTGCTTATGTTGTACTGTTAATATCTTGCAAACTTATATTGAATTATGTTGAGTTTGGCTTTGGTTCTCACAATCAATCAAAAACTAGAAACTTGGTTGACAGTTGACCATTAAACATTCTTGCTCAATGGCATATATTCCAAATTTTAGTTTCTGGGAGTGGGAGGTAACTTTTTCTTGGATTCCTAGTTTCTTCTAATAGACAGCATATTTTTACGAGAAGGACATAATCAAGCCTTTAATTTTCCAAATAAAATTACGTAGCATTTGCATAAGTTTAGCTTGTTTTTTCTGTTTAACCTTTTTTGTTATAAGTTGTCGCCCTCAGCTGACATGTGAAGCCGTTTTAAATAGTCATTAAATACCACTCAGTACACTTAACTTATGGTATATTAATCTTTATTACTACTTTTTATTTTTATTTTTGTAAAATTTTACTAACAATCATTCATGCATAAAAATTCGGTTGCCTGGTTTATTGAGGCTATTTCTCTAGTTAGTCATTCTTGTACATTTTAGGGAAGGAGTTTAAATTACAGGGATATAGCTAAAGAAGTATCCTGTGATTCTTGTCTTTTCACTTCAGAGTGTATGAACAATTAAGAACCCGACATCTTCACACTATCAGTTCGTGTTAATGTGACACTGACATGGTAGACCATTAATTTCCTTGTAGCATCATTTGTCTAATGCCGTCATCTTGGACCAAGCGATACACTTATCGTGTTAAGGTTTTGGACCCTTAGTTGCTAACTGAATAAAATATAAACCTTTTCCTTTTGTAAAAAAAAAAAAAAAAAAAAAAAAAAAAAAAAAAAAAATCGGTGTTAAGTATTTGGACCCTTAGTATGCTAACTGAATAAAATATAAACCTTTTCCTTTGGTAAAAAAAAAAAAAAAAAAAAAAAAAAAAAAAAAAAAGAGAAGGAAACAGATAATAAATTCACGCGCAAACCTGAAGTTAAAATGCCAAAACCTTAGGTACTGTTATTTAAATACTTTTCCCTTAAAGTCATAATGCCCCTACAGTTGTTGCCAAAGTAACCTTGGAGTTAAGTTTCTCTATACAATTCTAAGGAATGCAATTGTGTAACTACTGGTTTATTAGTTCACAAACGCTGCTTATTCTCCATTTTTCAACCTTTGAAAGATGTTAGAAATAAAGCATAGTCCATGTTAAAATTTTTTCTTTATAAAAAAAAAAAAAAAAAAAAAAAAAAAAAAAAAAGAGAAGGAAAACAGAATAAAATTCACCAAACCTGAAGTGAAAAATGCAAAACCTTAGGGTACTTTTTTATACTTTCCCTTAAATCATAATGCCTACAGTTGTTGCAAGTCAACCTTGAGTTAAGTTTCTCTATAAATTCTAAGGAATGCAATTGTGTATACTGTTATTAGTTCACAAACGCTGCTTTATTCTCCATTTTTCACCTTTTGAAGATGTTAGAAATAAAGCATATTCATGTTAAATTTTTTCTTTATTTGTCACTATATATATACACTCATTTATTTATTTACTTTCTGATATTCCTAATAGATAGAGTATTTGGCCCTACAACTACAACTCGTCATGTCTATGATGTTGCTGCCCAGCATGTTGTCGGTGGTGCTATGGAAGGCATCAGCGGTATGTGTTACAAACAGTCCTCTGCTTAGCAATTATGATTTTCTGCACTTTATTTTTGTTTGCAGTGTCTTAACTTTTCAAAATCATGTACTTTCAGGAACTATTTTTGCATATGGTGTAACAAGCAGTGGGAAAACTCACACTATGCATGTGAGATGCAGTAATATATGCTACTTTTCTTTGAACTCACTTGTCTGATGTACTTCATGATATTTATATAATGCATGCAAAACTCAATAATGATGCAATTTTTATTCATTAAAATTTTGCTTTTTAAATATGTTTGCCTTCTATCCCATGCCTGATCATTCTGAGACTGCAACGTAAGATAATATGAAGAGTTTGTATGATCACGTCTCATATTTTTGTATTTATTGTTGAGTCCCATGTTTAAGTGCAATCCACTGACCAATAGCAAATGCCAGCGTCCTTAATCATGCCGTCTGCTGTGTGTTTGATTTACTAAGATTACGCAATACATTGACATTCACGATACGCAAATGACAGGGTGACCAGAGGTCTCCTGGAATTATACCTTTGGCGGTGAAAGATGCTTTTAGTATTATTCAAGAGGTACTTAAATGGAACACGATTACTTGTCTAATTTTATCTGTCAGATCCATGTTTAATACTGCCAATCTATCCTTTCTCTGTGACTTAGACGCCGAACCGAGAGTTCCTCCTTCGTGTGTCATACTTAGAGATCTATAATGAGGTTAGCTTCTTCCAATTCTATCTCCCTCAATGCCTTGTCCATCTTACCTTTCAGTGCTGATGTGAACTTGCCATTACTTCTTTTTCCTTGTTTGCGACTTCACTATCCTTTAGGATTTTCTTATTTCAGGTTGTTAATGACTTGTTGAATCCAGCAGGACAAAATTTAAGAATCAGAGAAGATGCTCAGGTACTTGTTTATCGATTTGCGATTTTGTTTTCTATGTGATCTTTGATGGATCACTATTTAGTTTGTGATACTGCTACAGCGGTTAAAACTCCATGATGCAGAAATATGTTACCATCCATGGGCTTATCGCAGCTTGCTGCTTTAAATTTAATTTTTTTTTTCTTTTTTTTTTTTTTTAATTTAGACATCATAACTATTGATGAATTTGTGAGCTAATACAATCCTAAAACACAACATATTGCCAACAACTATCATGGGCATATTTATACACATAGATTTGACATTTCCCTTTGGCATGGATCCTATCAGCAGAAATTCATCTGTGGCTATTCCCAAGTCCTGATAGGTGTGAACTTTATTGATTGGTCTGGTTCTATGGCTTGATATTGCAGAGGAAAGATAGGCCAAGGAGATGACATTGACTTGTTTTTTGAAACTTACAAGATTTGGGCATACAGTTGAGTTTTGTGTCTTCTTAGTTCATGAAAGGTTCCAGTTGGTGACACCAAGCTCTCTGAATTATGCCTATGATCTGTTACTTGCAGTTCCATGTGATCATGTTAGTACAAAGTTGGACATGCGAACTCTGTGTCTCAATCTTGAAGATGGTCTAAGCTAAGTCTAACTCTCAAATAAGATATTTTGCCGCTCATGAACCCTCTAAGCATTTAGCTTGAATCCTCTATATAACTTTATACCCAGACTTGTATTTGTCGAGAGGCTAGTGTCTCAGCTAGAAGCAACTTTTTATGCACAAATTCATAGTATTGAAATTGAAAGCATAATTTGCACCATGCAGCTTGTTTTCATTGAATCACGTACAACCTGCTGAAGGTTTAACCTCACTTGTATCCGAATGACATGGCTGAATCAAGAATGGATACGACCGCCTGCAACTAATTGTGAAGAATAATGGAAACTCTTTGTGATCTTGCAGTTTAGGGCCTCAGTATGAGTTGGTTTATCAAATATTTAGCAAAGTTGAGGTAATGGTCATCATCATAATAAATAAGAAGTATATGATGAAAGGAGAAGTTCTCAAGATGCTGCATAACAATGGTTGAGATGATAAGTCTCATCCTTCTTGATACCAAGTTCTCTACAAACCAACCTGCACCTGTGATAGGGAATCTTGATTGTGTAATGAAGGTGATGGCATGACAACATTGAGTGCAACCTTGGGTATCTGCCCAAATCTTCTGCTGCAAGTGCAACTATGATTGACTCTTTAGGCAGATTGGGGAATTTCCAGATGCTTTAGTTTCACTTTTATTTTGTTTGGATCGTGTTTTGTTTGTTGGTTTGCAAACTTTTCTTCGTTGTACTCTAAGCTTACAGATGAAGTTTAGACTCAGATTTTACGGTTGTGTTGTTTTCAATAGTCATTGGGTTTGGAGTGCCAGGAGGTTGTGCTCTTTGTACTGGTGCTTGGCAGATCTTTATTTTAGGCAGGCATTTAGTTATGTGTTTGTTGATCACTGCTGTGGGAAAGATGCTGGATGAATTTTATAAGCTATCAATTGAGGCACCATTATGACCTAATGAACATTCATAGCATTTAAGCATCTTAGTCAAATCTGAATCCCAAAATGCATTGCCCCCTCCATCCACATGCTAAATAATAAAGAAAAGGAGAAAAAGAAAATATGGACCTCAATATTTGGGCAATTAATCATTATAAGTTTTGATATTCATAGAAGACCAAGAAGGCAATTAATAAGGAGCTTGATTTTATTGTTTCACCTCAGATTTTGGGGCCTATTATTATCCGAGTTACTAATTCTTTTTACTGAAATAGTCTAGGGAAGTTCTTCTCAACCGGCTAAATCTTGGTGTGAGGTTAGGACTAGGCTTTTGCTTCTTGACTTATATATGCCAAAGCATGCAAAATTTCAATTCTTATTTGTAGAATTGTAATCTTTTTTTTCCTGAATTGTGATTTTTTTTCCCCAAATGATGTCACCAAATAATTTATCAAAACATCATTTATATTTTTGCAGAAGCATTTTTCATTAATCATAATAACTCTGCAGGGCACATTTGTTGAAGGAATAAAGGAAGAAGTTGTATTATCCCCTGCTCATGCACTTTCTCTCATAGCTGCTGGAGAAGGTAACTCTCATGTCATATCATATGGAGGGCTTTCACTTTTCACTTTTTGACATTATTACTTATCATTAATTGGCATTAGCATGCACTAAATCTGTGAAAAAACTGTCTACGAGATTAATAGAAGCTAAGTGATCCAAACAAGTTCGTCTTTCAAAAGAAAATTGAAGTATGGAACCACCATTCTAACTCAGAAGTGAGCATTTGGATGATTGAACACATTTCCATACTAATCAAATCTTTGAAACCCTGTAAGTAGGAATTGTACTTGAAATAAATACCTTAGAAACTAATCCAACGTAATTCAATTTGGTTATTCAGTTAAAACAACAATTATTCTTGATCCCAAACTAGTTGGGGTCCGCTATATGGATCCTTTGTTTCTGCTTGCTTTATCCATAACTTGGTCTGACTAATGTCAAGAAGTAGATCTTTTGAGACAACTTCCCTCCGTGCAGTTCTAAGTCTACCTCTTCCCCTTTTAGCAGTCTCTACCATAACATACCTATGACCTGGAGCATATGGTCTACATCGGACATGACCAGACAATATGTCGTCCTATGTAGACCCCCTTGTGCTTCAGTTCATAAGTGTGATATAGGTGTGGTTATTCAGTTATTGATAAAAAATTACAATTTAAGTTATACGTTGTTAATTAAAAAACAATTATGAACTATGTATTATTAAGAAAGTTTTGAATATGTATATACATATAGATACATACATTATATATATATATTCAATGGAAAAATTAGTTATTTTGGTTACAATTTCTTGAGGTAACAAAATCTTGAAAAAGTTATCAAAATATTAGCTGAACTAAAAACTGAAATTTTCTAAATTGAAATAACTGAATTATATTTTATCGTTCAGTTCTGTTTTTTCATTTATAACCAAATATTGCTCCAGTCAGCACTATTCTCACTGTCATCTAAAAGTTGAAGGGGTTTCTTTCTCAAAAGCTCTCCTATTTTTCTCTCTGCAGGTAATCCACAGAGTGGCCAAGAATTGTCAAATCATATCTCCTTGTGTCTTGCCTAACACTGAGATCCTCTCTATCTTTAGTTTTTATGTCTGAAGCCAATTAATTCAAGAGATATATAGCCAAACACCAGATTGATTGCACCCATTACGTTGATTCTTACAAAGCAAACATTTATTAAACAAGTAATTTGCTCTTTCATCAAATAGTGTAATGTTAAACTATATCTCCTAGATGGCTTCTCCAATACATTAGATCCCAAGTTTCAGAATGCTGATTATGAAGCATTCTGGAATCATTCAAAATGTTATATACACGTTTTTATAATATAGCATACGTAAACAGATGGATAAGGTAGGTTCATATTATCCTCCATCATCTTCTATCCATGTATACTGTCCGTTTCAGTTAGTCAGGTCCAATTCCCCTTTCTAACTGTGTACCCCTTTTAGGTAATCAAATTGAATCTTTATAAAATTAAAGAACCAAATCCTTAAGACATAAAATAGAAGAATAATTTAGTCAATCAAACTGAAAATTGAAAAGCATCATGTAATAGTGTGCTTATACAAATAATTGTCAGAAGTTACAAAATCTCATTCTGTCTGATTGGTGATTGGAATTTTCTATTCTGTACAGAGCACAGGCATGTTGGGTCTACTAATTTTAATTTACTCAGCAGCCGGAGCCATACAATATTTACACTGGTAATCTTGCAGTATCTTAATCAAAGAACGATTTAATTATAATTGATTGTTGCACTTGTGGCACATGTAGTACTATCAATGATCAATTATTTATGTTTTTGTGCATTCATTTCTTTGCTTTTTATCACTTCTAAAACTACATTGATACAGACAATAGAGAGTAGCCCATATGGAGAAAATAGCGAGGGAGAAGCTGTAAATTTGTCTCAACTGGTAATTTCTATCACTTGTGTTCGTATACTGATTATTATTTACCTGATTACTTTCTAATTTGTACCTGGTCTTGTTGCTTGACTACCTTGTCTTTTATTGGTTTCTTTTACATGTACTTCTCTTGATGCCAGTGATATTTTTTAACTTCTCCACATCTTATTACTTATACCTGCAGAACCTCATCGATCTGGCAGGTTCTGAAAGTTCAAAAGCTGAGACCACTGGTGTAAGACGGAAAGAAGGATCCTACATTAATAAGAGCCTGCTAACACTTGGAACTGTGAGGACTCATACACCTTTGTTGTTCATCATTAGATATATAGTTGAGCATCTTCCATGTGATCGACCATCTACAATCTCACTGTTTTCAAGCAATTATATTAGTTGCAATGTTTTCAGACCCAAAACAGACTAGCCAATAACACTGGGATAACTGGGAACTGACTGCTGTTCCATTCTGGGTCTCCTTTATAACCTTCTTTTAGTTAAAACCAGCATTGAATGAGCTTAATGGATGGTTGAACTGGGCACAAAACTAGTAAAAAATCTGTGATTCAACTGTTCAATTTCTTTGCATATAATTGACAATTTTTAGTTGAACCTACATCCTCACTTATGGCAAAGGCTGTCATGCCACCTAGCTACTCAAGTCTTGGTTACTTCACTGTCAAGTTTTTTGTCACATTAAGCAATATAAATATAATAAATTGCATTCTCATTCATTTAAGAAGTATAATCTCAGTTTCTTCAAAAAATTAGATATATAGTTGAGAGGCCATCTTCGCATGTGATCGCATCATCTACAATCTCAACTGTTTTTTTCAAAGGCAAATAATTAATTTAGTTTTGCAAATGTTTTCAGACCCAAAACAGACTAGCCAATAACACTGGCGATAACTGGGAAACTGAACTGTGTTCCACATTCTCTGGGTGCTCCTTTAATAACCTTGCTTTCCTTTTAGGTAAAACCAGGCATTAGAATGAGCATTAATGGATGGGTTAAACTGGGCACAAAACTAGTTAAAAAAAAAATAAAATCTGTGATTCATACTGTTTCAATTCTTATGCAATATAATCTGAAATTTTTAGTTGAAACCTACATCCTCACATTATGGCAAAGGCTGGCTGTCATGACCACACTAGCTACTCAGTCTTGAGGTTACTTCAACTGTCAAGTTTTTTTTTGTTTCACATTAAGCATTAAATATAATAAATTGTGCATGTCTTCATTCATTTAAAGAAAGTAAATAAATATCTCAGTTTCTCTTTCAAAAAAAAAAAAAAAAAAAAAAAAAAAAATTAATATTATATATTATATATATATATAATATATATAATATATATATATCCCTCAGTATTAAAAATTAGATATTGGAGGTGAACATATAACCTCAGTATTTAATAGATATTGAGGACATAATTAAGTAATAATTATAAATTTATGCAAAACGAAATTCCTTTTATATACGTTACTTGGAAATACTAAAATTAAAAGAGCACTCATTTATTTGAAAAAATTTGAATCTATAAATGTTAAAACTAAAATTATATTAAGGATAGGGTTTAAAGGTTTCATAGTTCATTGTATGTGCGTTGAAGAAAATTATTGAAGTGTACTTGTTTTTGTTTTTTAAATTATATGTGGAAGTGTACTTTAATGAATGTTGAAAGTTATTATGAAAATTAAAGACTGATCTTTTTAACTTATTTATTTACGTTGTTAGTTATACTAGATAAAATTTATATGCTTTTGGCCTTTCAAATATTTGTTCACTAAAATTCAAAATTCTTTTTTTTTTTTTAAATTTTATTTTATCAAAAATATTTAACAAGTAATGTATTATTATTCGGTTCAAAAATACTAGATAAAAGTTATATGACCTCTGATCCTCTCCCTTCTTTTGTTCTATGACCACTCTAGATTTGAAACTATTTTTTATTTGTCCAGCCTCTATTTTTTGTTTCAGAATTTAACAACAATCAGTTTAATATGAAAATAATTGGATAAGCTTGTCACGAAGTGTGTATCTGTATGTATTTGAGTACCTTTATCATTTTTATTGATATTCTATTCTTTGCAATTGGTTCTGCTATAGAATTCACATAAAGCCTCAAATATGTGTAAGATGGGAAAGCAAAAGTGATTAAGCTGTTAAAATGACTGATTTATTTACGTATTATATCTATATTTCCATGGCTCATGTTTCCCACTGGATTGGATTAAAGCTTGGTTGAGTTTTTTGAAAATTTAAGTTGTTTGAAAGGTTTATTTATAATTGTCAGGACTTTGTTTAAGATAATCTCATGCCTATTGTTCTATTGACTAGTTGGTCAAGATTTATAAAGGTAGATGTCTTGTCTTGCATACGTAACATGCACTCTCTCTTGTATCACACATAATTGTTTTTTGGCATTTGCTTTAAATGATGATTGATGAACTATCTTTTTTTTTTTTTAAAATACAAATGTCACACAGAGTACAATTCATGTATCTAATAGTCTAGTGAATTACCACTCATGATTTCAAACTATTTTACATCTGTATCGATAATTTATCATGGATTTGCTGCTTATGATTTATATAGGTTATATCAAAGTTGACAGATGGGAGGGCTAGTCATATTCCATACCGGGACTCTAAACTGACCAGGCTTCTTCAATCTTCATTAAGTGGTCATGGCCGTGTATCAGTATGTGTTAGATTTTCCTTTTTGTATATCTGGTGTCACGATATGTGGCTTGTCACATGCTCCTACTTGCATAATTGCACTTTATGAATGCCACATTCTTCTAACTGGCTCCTTCTTATCCATTTATCTATCTTCTAAACTTGTAGCTTATTTGCACTGTCACTCCTTCATCAAGCAATTCTGAAGAGACACATAATACTTTGAAATTTGCCCATCGTGCAAAACACATTGAAATTCAAGCAGCACAGAACAAGGTACTTTGCCTGTAGATTGTATGCATCTATAAATTGCTCTTGTTTGGAGAAATTTGAAATAATCATTCATTTGCAGATTATTGATGAGAAATCCCTTATCAAGAAGTATCAAAATGAGATACGCTGTTTGAAGGAAGAATTAGAACAATTGAAGAGGGGGATTGTGACAGTTCCGCAATTGAAGGATATGGTGGAAGATGATATTGTCCTCCTAAAACAAAAGGTACTTGTAGTGCATGTGACTTCTATGTGAACTTACTGTTAATGAAGGCCTTTGTGACTAAAATAATTTAAAAGCAAGGAGTTTAGGAATCATTTGTTAGAATCCATATAGTCTCTTAATTTCTGGCATTTTGATTCTTTATTGTGTTGGGCCAAGATTTCTTGCTTAATACTCTGTTCTATATACCTAATCAATTTGATAATTATGCTAAAAAATATACATAAAGAAAATTTGCAATCCTCTTTTTTCACATACAAAATTTCTGATTGTTTGGGTGTGTAGGACGAGACCACCCTGGTGTAGGTGATAATGTTATGCAAACTACCGTGAAAATAGGAGTCAAAGGAATACAACCGAATTACGCGGTTCGACATAAGTCTAATCCACAAACAATCTGCTATAAAATAATAAAAAGCACAAGTATTAATAAGAATAACCTCTGCCAAACACTCATAAAATAAGTACTATATACACACACAGTAATCTTATGGACCACACTGCTTGCGGCACTACCGCTACACTATACGCATAAATTTGTGGACTCATAATACAATAGCCAAACAACACTCTATTTATACTGGTTATTGGTCAGTCGAACACAAGGCAATAAGGATCTAAGTCAAACTTGGTTAAATTATTTCCATTCCAAATTTAATTCCAACTCTTACTTTTGTTATTAATGTTTCTTTTCCTTTTCCATGTCCAACTTGGTCTTGGACATACATACTTTTCCCTGGGCCAAATCCTATCCTTTTTTATTTTCTTGCATGGAATCATTTCATGCTGGCATCTAATGTTACTCTATCTAAAAGAGGCATTCCTCACTCTTCCATGTACATCTTTACTGAATTTTGTGTATGCACTGTCCAACTTGTGAAAAGGTAAATGTGCAACATAGATTCCAACTGAAAATATGTGATGATATTGCTCGATATATTATTTTCATTAGCTGTAAACCTTGCCTTCTTATTCTTCTTTGAGTTATTGCAAATGGTTTGATGTATTAATGTGATGTATAAAGCTAGAAGATGGTCAAGTCAAGTTGCAATCTAGATTGGAACAAGAAGAAGAAGCAAAAGCAGCTTTGTTGAGCAGAATACAACGCTTGACAAAGTTAATTTTGGTCTCCTCCAAAGCTTCGCAATCATCAAGGTTTCCTCACCGCCCTGGTCCAAGGAGGAGACATTCCTTTGGAGAAGAAGAGGTATTATAAAAATTTGTATTTTTTTTTTTTTTAATTTCTTACTCTTTTGGACCATCACTTAATTTATCTCGACTACCTTTCTAATTTTTCACCTTCTAGATTATAAGAGTGATGCCTGTTTTTTTTTTTAAGACATTCCTATGTGTTAAGGTTCCCCCCTTTTCTTTCTCAACTCAATTTGATCTGATTATAGTTGGTTATTTGTAATATGCAGCTTGCATACCTGCCATACAAAAGGCGAGACTTGATGTTGGATGATGAAAACATTGAATTGTATGTTTCTATTGAAGGGAACAATGAAACCACAAATGATACAATGAAGGAGGAGAAGAAATCCCGGAAGCATGGATTGCTCAACTGGTTAAAACTGCGGGTATATATTTTTTGGATTTTCATAAGCAATGTTGTTGTTCTTGTTGAATCTTACTAGTTTACGCCAAATTTCATCCATTTGTTTTACATGGTGTACAAACAACGAACTTTGGGTTTGAAGCAGATTCTTATATATATAAGGTTTTGAGAACCTGAAGCCAAGGAAGCTGGAATCCTCTAACTGGTGAAATCCAAAAATAACTGATTTCTAACAACATAAAAATCGCCTCTTTATTTATTTATTGGGAAATAAAGAAAACCAGATTTGAATCAAATATTTGCCCCAAGGATAAGAGTTGTTATTTCTACTCCTCTGGTCCTGAACTTTAACAAGGGAGTGGGAGAACACCTTTTGTAATATTTTCTAATTCCTTTCTAAGCGCTTGTCCTGTTTGTATATCAGAAGTTATTCGGTGTGTGTGTATGTATGATGATTGAATGTCTTGCTAGGGTCAGGTTTTCTTCTTGCTCTATATTCTTGAATTGGGTTTCATTGGCATTTTCACTAACTCAAATTGGCACTACCACACTGTTGTTATCAAAGAAAACTGCAACTGGATTCTCTCAGGGGTAGCCTTGTAATTTTTTGCAGTTTCCAAGTTGCTAGTTAAGATTTCAAATAGTGGATTCGACTCCAGGTACCTGGGATTTGGTCAGAAATTCACAGGATTCATTTACCTAAGTTGAAGAGGATGCTTCAGTCCCACGTTCCTTACCATCAGTAAAATATAATTTCTGAAACACATGCCAAATTGCTTCCTGTGAATTTACCTTGAGCCAAAAACAAAGTTTAGAAGAAACATTATGTAACACACTCAATTTACAAATGCGTTAGATGTGGTTATAATGTAAAACCTTTCATGCTGAGCGTTCATTCATGCAAGTTGATGGTATAGTTTTCCTGGTCAATATCTTAATAGGATCTGAGCCTTAGCATGATAGTTACTAATGGAGGGCCATTTTTCAATGCGTTCTTTTCATTTCACTTCACTTTGAAAGGGTAAACATAAAATTGCTTTTCAGTCATCTTTGCAGCTCATAGAAGCATATAGAATATAATCAACAGAAGGAATCATCAAAACAATGAAGTATATGTCATGTTTCTTCTGAAAAATTAAACCCTGTGATAAATTGGTGAATCTGCTTTTATTGACTCAAGATATTGGCTTCTATATGTGATTAAAAGTGCTTATTGGATATGCTTTTGAAAATATTGACACTTTTCAGTTGGTATAGTTGTTCTTTTCTGTTTGCTTTATTTTTCTGGTCTCATTACCCATTTTGAAACTCAAATGCTTTGTGTTCTTCACCAGAAACGAGAAAGTGGGATGGGGACGAGTACCAGTGATAAATCAAGTGGAGTAAAATCTATTAGTACACCTTCAACACCTCAAGCAGAACATAACAATTTTCACACAGAATCCAGATTTTCAAATCCTTTACTTACAGACAGCTCTCCATCTGCTGATCTTCCATCTGAGGTTCAACCAGATAGAGAAGTTCCTGATGAAAATTTCCTTGGTCAAGAAACTCCTTCGGTATGCTGATAGTCTTTTTAATTTGCTAATTAATATTTCTTTTGAATGAGGATGAATTGGGCATAGCCTACTGGCTTAAATTCCTGTGCCTTTTTTGTTTTCAAGACTAGCATAAAAACAAGTGATCAGATTGATCTTCTTAGAGAGCAGCAGAAGATTTTGTCTGGAGAGGTGGCACTTCATTCAAGTGCTTTGAAGCGATTGTCTGAGGAGGCTTCGAGGAATCCCCAAAAGGAACAGATTCATGTATTATGTTGTTTTCAATATCCAAATCCATCTTTCCATTAGCTTCTTTTGGCCTAGAAAATTCATTCTTTTGTGCTTTTTGTATTCAAGGTGGAGATGAAGAGGCTGAGAGATGAAATCAAGGTGAAGAATGAACAAATTGCTTTGCTGGAAAAGCAAATTACAGACTCCATCATGACTTCAGAGAGCAAGATGGATAAATTGGAAATGTCCCAAGTAATTTTAGCTTCATTTATGTTTCACAAACTGCTTGTCTATGTTTCTAAATCGATCTTTAAGCTATGAGTTGTTTTTTTGCTGCAGACAATTGCGGAACTGACAGAACAATTGAACGAGAAATCATTTGAACTAGAGGTGATCTATCATACAAAATTTGATATGAGATATAATATGGGAACTGTTTGTTCTGCATGATAAGGATATTTTTCATGACCAATTGATATTAAAATGACCTGAGCATGCTTAAATCTTAAGTTTATTTGGGAAATTATTGTTCCTCTGTCTGCGGTCATTTTAAGTATTAATTTCAAGTCACTAAAGTAAGATCATCTTGTCGAAATTATTGAGTGATATGAATGTACATTATATAAATAATCTGTTCTATATCCCAATATGTCATGCATACAAAATGGAACAGCAAGAATTTCACAGGTTATTAGGAACTTCTCAGTCAATAATCCTTCCACATGTTACTCCTTTTAGCCATTTGATTTTATTTATTTTTATCTGATAAGTGTTATCTTATCTTTCCGCTTTCCAGGTTAAAGCTGCAGATAATCGGGTGATCCAGGAGCAGCTCAACCAAAAGGTTAAAAATGCACCTTCACCAAATCTGAATGTACATACATTTGAATTGTTTCTTTATCAGTTGAGAATAAGATGTAACTAGGCTTTTCCTTTCTATCAGATATGTGAATGTGAAGGATTGCAGGAAACAGTTGCCTCTTTGAAGCAGCAGCTCTCTGATGCGCTAGAGTTGAGAAATAGTAGTCCTTTACCCAGTTACTTACAGCAGTTTTCTGAATTAAAAAGTTTACAGGCAGAAAAGGAAATTGCAGCGACAAAAGATAGAAATGAAGATTTGCTTCAACAAGCTCAGGTTTGTTCTTAAGGTCATCAAGTGATTGTTAGTATGAAATTACATCATGCCCTTTTGTGATCTCCCTGTTCTTCTGAGAAACTTTTTTTGAGAAAGTAGCAAAAACAAGATAATCCTGTCATGTTCAGATCTTGTCAGTAACACAATCTACAGGGTCCATTTTTGTATCATATCTTGCAAAAGTGAAACCTAAAGTGAGACTGGGTATTGTAGGTCCACTATCTCTAGGAAACATATATCGAGAAACCAACGTGACACACTGGGTCGACTTTCTCTTCGTGCTACAATTCTCAAAAATCTAACCAGCCTATTCAATAGCAATAAGGTTCCAAATTTCTTTTCAGCAATATCTACTTGACTATCATGCTGATCTAGGGACATATGTGGTTAGCAAGAATGTAAAATATATAGTATGCATATATTCTATTCTATATTTTTATGTTGTCTTTGAGATCAGCTTCCGCCAAGTCCCATTATCTTGCCCTTACCTAGTTTGTTCGTTGTATGCATTGACATGGTTTCGTTGGCTCAATTATGTCTCACCAAGAAATATGAGGTGAATGATCCTAAGGATTTGTGGGACACTGAGTTCACATTATGTGTAGAGGGGTTTCTGGGGAAATAAGATTTGGAGAATCCTCACATTGTCTTTTGGAGCATGCTTCATGTAAAACCTAACTGTACTTCTGTTGATATGTTGTCTTAACTTTCTTAAGTTCCATCTTCCATCAGAATAGAGAATAATATAAATTTCCTATAATGACCCTGTTGTTCCTTGAGATGATTTACTGAGATGGCCAATAGTTGATCAGACTTTTTTCATCAATTATAGAACTAATTAACTAATTGCAAATAAAATTTTTCAGTTTTAGTTTTTCAAGTTTGCCTGTTATTGTAAATTATAATAATTGCAGAACTCATATTTTCCTTGTGAGAGAATACTGGAGTTAGTGTATAAGTTGTAAAAGCATATGCATTTCTGTAGTTTGTATATATTGTCATAGTCAACATAGTTGTAAACTTATCCGTAGCTAGAAAAGTCTTCTTTTCAATTTGTCAATACTTGCTGCATAACTTGATGTTTGTAGCTGATTTTTGCTTATCATCTTTCAGGTCGCAGAGATTGAAGAGCTGAAGCAAAAAGTTATTTCATTGACAGAATCAAAAGAACAACTGGAAATGCGGAATCAAAAATTGGCAGATGAAAGTTCTTATGCAAAAGGGCTAGCATCAGCTGCTGCTGTTGAGCTTAAGGCATTATCAGAAGAAGTTGCCAAGCTCATGAATCATAATGAGAGATTAGCTGCTGAGCTGGCAGCAATTAAGAACTCACCTGCACAGCGTAGAACTAGTGGCTCAGTTCGGAATGGCCGAAGAGAGAATAATCACATGAAACGCAGTGACCAAGTTGGCCCGACTTCAGAACTGAAGAAAGAGTTGGCTATAAGTCGAGAAAGAGAACTTCAATATGAAACTGCTCTCGTGGAGAAAGATCAAAGAGAGGCCGAGCTTCAAAGGAAAGTTGAGGAATCCAAGCAAAGAGAAGCTTATCTTGAAAATGAACTAGCTAACATGTGGGTTCTTGTAGCAAAATTGAAAAAGGCGAATGGTGCCGACCCAGATAACTAAGAATGAACAACAGAGGTTTCAAGAATTGATGGTTTTGGACACTGATTTCTTCAGAAACGGGCAACGTCTGAACAACAGAGCTTCTTCTAAAGCAATGTCTGAGAGTTAGTGTGCAGAAATTTGTGTCGTGCATTACAAAGTCAGGGGTGTTTATGTATTGCAAATGACTTTTTTCTTTCTTTCTTTCTTTCTTTTTCTTCTTTCAACAAATGAGCCTATTGGCCTATTTTTCCTGTGCCTTTGTTTATTTAAGGTTTTCTAATGTGTCAATATTTGTATTAAGTAATCACCCACGATTGTTTCTTAGGGGTCTTATTGTGAATGCTTGATCATTTAATGATTCGTATATAGAATGACAGTGTAAAGAATTAGAATACTCCCCTGCCCGAAAAATAATTAAAAACAAAAACATAACATTATGGCGTTTGCAGATAAATAATGGCGTTATCAAATGAGAAAAATGCATCATGAGGTTGAAAGTAGCTGCAAAAAATATTAGCTTTTTAGTGGATACTGGTTAAATTTCCATGTAGGTGAGCATCATTTTAAAACAAATGCAACTCTCATTTGGAGAAAGTGACGGGTAAAACCTGAAATACTCGACTACGTCTCAACTCTCAAGTGCGATGGGCGAGATAATCTAAAATTATTTTCGTTCTGATGTCATTTGCGGGACAGAAAATTATCGACCTTGGCATTTTTGTTAAATGACTCGAATTCATTTTATTTTATGTTCAATTTTTATTTTAAAAATGAAAAATTTATTATGCATATAAGACCAGTTTTTCCAACTCTTCAACCTTCCATTGGATAGGTTATATATTACACATATTAAAAAAAATAATAATAAAAAGAAAAAGAAAAAGTTTCCTGTATGCTTCACGATGGATTTTCCACTTGTGCTAGTAAGCATAATTTAATTTTTCTCATTGCAGATTATTGAAGCTTCTTTTTCCATTGTAATATGTAGGTTACGATATCTGATGGATACGTTTTAATTATATCAAGCCAAACTAGGCAATTACTATGCCAAGTTTATTTGCGCCATGTAGAAAAAGAAAACCGCTAGCTTAGATCACACATTGGAGGTAAGTCTTAGCCAGAGGCAAAGCCACTTGTTACTTTTCAGCTGCTGCATTCTAACCTACACTTTTATTCTTTTTACTTTAACCGTTTGGCTATTAATTTACATGTAAAAAGCTTTATCCATTTAATTTAAATTTCTGATTTGGACTCTGGACATATCATGATATGTTATCATAATCTATTGCAAATGAGGCTTTGGTCCAATGATAATAACAAACCTAAAGTCCAAGTTGATTATTCTAAGTTAAACCTGGACCATTTGGGCTTGTGGCAATTTTTCTAACTCCATTCTCACTTTCTTTATGCAATTTTCCCTTCTTTTCACTGCACAAAATTCTCATTTGGAAGTTATGACGTTTGATGTGCAGATATTATCAAAGTAGTACATTTGGCATTAACTACAGGTATCCCTACAGTGCATGCTCCATCCATGAGGATGGAATTTTTTACCTCACAGTATCGAATCACTTATTCCAACACTATTTGGTATTAAGAACCATAATATCGAGTCTAAATCATCTATCAATGATGGGACTAGATTTTTCACTTAATTGCCTATTGAAAAAAGAAAATTGCTAAAGAATTGCAGCTAGATAATGAAAAACTATATATATATATATTCATATTTTATAATTAATTTACATATCAAATATATATCTCAAGAATGAGAATACATATAGCTATGTAAATATGACAAAGCTTAAAAAGAAAAAAGAAATACAAAGTATACCCAAAATGGCAATAACATTTCCCCACAAATCCATCTGCTTTGTCATGGCTGCATGTAATGTCTTGCCTTTTCAAGCGCCTTAGAGAAGAAGATATATGCATGCCAAATCTTTTCTTTTTTAGAAAAGAAATGGAAACATCTTCTATCCTAAAACTCATTATTATTATTATTAGTTTGTTAAATTAAGCTTCAACTAAAATTTAAACTGGGTATCTCATTTTTCTCTTCTTTTTTTTTTTTTTTTTTTCTTTTTTTTTTTTTTTTTTGAATTATTTGATTTTTTTTTTTTTTTTTTAATTATTTTGATTACTATTAAGGTTTGATTTGAGACCTCTCAACTGTAGAGATGATACCAATACCACTGAGCTAAACTCATTGGTTCCGTTATCCATTTTACCGACTCTCAGTTGATTTTAAAACCTTTTTTTACCGTCAACCTTATAGAACCCTAGCCTCAGCTCCAGGTCCAATTCCTCCTTTTTTGAGCTCTTCGCCTCAACACCGTCACCATCTTCATCACCACATCCAACAACACCATCAGCATCCTTCTTCGACACATTAGACAAAGGATCACTTATGGTTTTCTGAGAGTTACTAGAGTCTGCACCATTATTCTTCTTGACAAGATAAGGATGATACCTTGGAGAACCTCTAGCCTTCAGTTTGAGAACTCCATGAGGAGATCCGTTGAACTGGGTGGTTTGCACCACCGCCTGTTCTGCAACCACAGCTGGTGACGGTGGTGGTGGTGGATTCTGGTGGAAGTTGGTGACCATCGCCATGTTGACAGTAAGAAGATTTATGCTAGGGAAGCTTCTGTAGCGATGAGCGTTGTAGTGGCCAGCTAAAGCATGGCCATTTTCGTACTCTTTGGAGCATCGCTTGCAGACATATTTAGGTGTAAGACTGGAAGTGGCGGTGTTAGAGTCATCGGAGCTTGAATCGGACTGCATTGTTGGGGGAAATTTTTGTAGAGGAGAGAAAGAGGAAAGTGAAGAAAGGAACGTTATGTAGGGTTTGAAACGATGAAAACAAGGCAGGTTAAAGAGGTAGAGATAAGGGTATATATAACAATTGAAATGCATGTAAAGGTGCAATTTGCAAAGGGAGCTATAAAAGGTATTTTCTGAATTGAAAATGGATTTAATTACTTTGTATATTGTTTAAAGTTAATTACCTTTTGTTTGCTAGTATTACATTTCCTTTATGGAAAAAATATGTAACGCACTCTTCTTTTCTTTTCCTTTCTCTTTTTTCTTTTTTCTTTTTTACTATGTGATATGGCCACATGCTTTGTTTGTACCTATAGGATTAATTCATATATAGTTCGAAAGTAGTATTCAAGTAGAACTTACCCGATAATGATAATTTCAGTTTTTAAACCACTGATCTTATTAATAAAGTTTATCAGAGAATACAATAAAAGAAAAATATTTTACTCGCAGGACTCAATATTTTTTCTAATAACGCTTATATGAAAATTCCTGATATAAACAATGGATTAACATGAGAAATAATATATATCGGTTAGAGTTTAAATTAAGTAGCATGAGAATTTGTACTTAGGATCTATCTAAATTTAAAGAAAACGAATTTCATATGATCATGAGAAATTGTGTTTATATATGTTGAATTTATTGAATAATTTTAATGAATAAAATTAATAATTTCTTTGATATTAATGAATTGTTGCCAAATGGATTCTCAATGTCCTCTAAAAACAAAAATTATGTGGCAAACAATAGCTTAATTTGATAGCTTGATATTTCAACAATGTGAAACTAGCGTATCTGTGAAAATTATTGTTGCAAAAATTATACTGAACATAAATCCAATTAATATTCTCCATACAAAGAATAAAAACTTTAAAAATTATTGTTGATAGTATGATAAGATATGCATTGTTATGAAAATTGTAATTTTAACGATATAGCGAGTCTTCTTCATAGTTTGAAATGCCATTAGGTTAAAAGTTGTGAAGTTAAGTGAGTAGATACATTTATGCATTTGGTCTAAAAAATTTGATAGATTAATTATATATTTTATATATTCTTAATAATTCCATCATCGACTAATTTAAGCATTGCCAATGGAGGGTCCATGAGATTGAGAGCTACGTCTAAAAATCAAAACAAAGTAGCAAAAACATTTGATAGACTAAATGTATTATATATATTTTTAAATTTTATTTAATTAGCATACAGATAATTTTCTATGAGACAATGTAATGCAATTTTTTCTTGTTATAATTTTTATATAATTGTATTTCTTGTTTAATAAACTAATTTTCATAATTAAAAATATCAAAGAGCTAGCGTTGCTATAAATCGTGTTCCATACTTAGCTTTAGCTATCTCCTCGCAAATTAATTTTTCTATATATATTTAAACAATTAATAGAGAGAGAATCACTAATCAATTACCATGTAAGCTAATGGATATGGAAGCATTAATTAATATATTTCATTATTTATCATACATCCAACAAATAGTTTATTATTATTTAAAAAAAATCGTCACTCTTTAGTTTTATTTTATTTTTCTTTTTATTTGCATCAATTATCATTATATATTAAAATTTAATAGATACATAGAATTCGATAGTATAAGAATTTTACTCGAATTAGAATCCCAAGTGGAGAATAAAAATACATATATTAAAAAAAAAAAAAAAAAAAAAAAAAAAACATATATTAAAAAAAAAAAAAAAAAAAAAAACATGTTGGTTCCATTTGTAAATAAATATTTCTTGACCAATTAAGCATATTGAACTAGAAAAAAAAAAAAAAAAAAAAAAAAAAAACATGTTGGGTCCATTGTAAATAAATATTTCTCTGACCATTAGCCATATTGACTAATGGGATATCATGAGAAATAAGAAAAGCAGAACTACTATTATTGTCTCTATATTTTGTTAAGTGGCCACGTTCACTAAAGAAACAAAATGCTTCTATCCAAATGTCAGGTTTTGTAGTTGAAGAACAACCACTACCCCAAACCATTGACCTAAGTGATGTCATTTTTTTTTTTTTTATATAATTTTTATTTTTGAAATATATATATATATACTTAGCTTTATATCTAAGCCATGCAGAAGTGCGTTTGGATTTTTGTATTAATAATGCACTGTCATAAACATACACATGTTACCATAAATATTTTCCATTTTCAAATGGCATTTGTCTCTTATGCACAGCAGTCAACATTATCATTTGTAAATGAATTACATGCCATGTGCAATTTAACTAAAATTAACATGATTTTAAAGGGCCTAATCCATAATTTTCACCAATAGTGTTTATCCTTGTGGCCCCTTAAATTTTACAGGAATTCTATCATGACGTTGCATTTTTATATTACATTTTGATAAGGACATAGTTATTACTGAAATATAAAATTATAAAGTCATGACTCAACTTTTAAAAAGTTATTTCATTTTGGAAAGAGATATAGTTATTACTGAAATTCAAAGGTATAGGCTCATGATTAAAACCTGTAAAATTCAAGGGACCATAAAGAGGATCCATCAAAATTCAGAATCAAATTTATGTATTAAGTTAATTTTAAATGGAGGTATTATTTAAAAAAAAAAAAAAAGAAAGGAAAGGGAGGTGTTATTTTAAAAAAAAAAAAAGGAAAGAAAAGGGATGTGTTACTCAAATTTCTAATATATGTATATGCATTTTTTTTATTTAATCAGTCGGAAAAATAATCAATAATTGAACCATTATAACACACTTGAATTACATTATTTTGCAACACACATATTTTCAAGGGCTATAGTACCACATATCTCTCTCCCTTAATTCATTCTCTTATACTAAAATATTTTACTCACACTTGATTTCTTAAATTCCCACCTTACTTTAGGGTTACTACTAATAAAGGTTAGAGTCATTTATATATATATAATCTCCAAATGTGCTCAATCCATCTACCTTCATCCCCATGAGTTTAGAGCACTTAAGACATATTCATTTTTCTCTAAATCATTTATTTTATCGTGATATTACTAATTGCATAACGAATGTTGCTCTCAATGTTATATATAGCAGTCAAAGCTATCATGTATAAGTGAATCTATATGCAATATATATAAATGAATCTCGTCAACACAAATGTGATTAATTTAATTTTCTTTCCATTTTATAACTTCAATAGGAAAATGAAATTTCATTAATTAACTCATATAAAAATAGTATATCTTATTAAAAATTAAAAAATTTATAAAGAGACTTATAAAAAAATTTGAATGTAATAAGAAATTAATAAATAAATCATTTTAAAACTTCAAAAAAGAGCAAACTCATGAATTTTGACATCACATACCAACCAAAACTTTAAGGCAATGAATTTATATATATATATCTCATTAGTCCTTTCTCTTTAATGTGCTATTTCATAAATCTCACTTTGTTTTACAGTTACAAACACAGTAAACTCATACATTACTACTAAAATTACGATTTAGAAACGGATTATTCCGTTTCTAAAATAAGAAAAACTGTTTCTAATTATTGTCACTTCCGTAGCTACATTTGGTTGTCATTTGCAGACGAATCTAGTTTCAATCCATTTTTATTCCGTTACCATATCCAAATCCATCGCTAGTCCATTCCTAAATTCATAATCTATTGCTAATATTCATTTCTAAGCTTTTTAATCTATTGTTGGAGAGGTAATGTATATTGAATATTTTAGTTTCACACCCAAAAAGAAGGGAGTTACGTATGAATTAAACTTGTCGGCGGAAGTCTTCTTTCTCAACGGTGAAGACCTAGCTCATGAGCTTATTATTCTAGATCAGAACAAGTTAATAGGATCCCCTTCCATTTCTAAACCTTTGAAAATCGAATCTCAAATGTATTTCCATTGCTACATCTGTTTCTAATTTTATATTTAAAATAAACATAAAACTATCTGTTTCTAATTTTACCACATACCCCAATTGAAATCCTTCATAGGTTATTTTCACTTTTATATATATCATCCGCTTCTAATGTGATATTTTACGCATACTTGATACTTTATAACTCCTTTCTTACCGTATAGTTATCATAATTAGAACTATTAAATAGCCAAATTTTCTTGAGATTTTTAAATTTGTCATATATTATAATATGTTTATCCATATATAAATTTAAAAACGATGAGAGTTTGTTATAGTCATTAATTAATTGTCTGATTAATCATTAATTAAATAAACAGTTTAAAGAATTTCATATTTTTATCATAAAATTGTCTATATATATATCATTAATTACTATTGAATTTATCAAAGAAACAAACTTTAATAATCATTAAAAACATTGTAAAATTTTCGTTTTCTAATTCCATAATTGATTATTGAGTACATAAATCTTTTTATTTATTTTTATATTTTTCCATGATTATCACCACACGATTTTTCTTTTTTTTTTTTGGTATAATTTTTCCACGATTATCGCCATGCCATTTTTATATATAAGACTAATCTCGTTTTAAAATACATAACTATCCATCTTCATAAGTGTTCTTTATGAATCGAACTTAATTACAATCATTTTCTTAAGTGTTGAGTTACATGAAGACTAACAAACAAAGAAATGCAGAAAGTTCAAACATATAAATATTAATTCATTCCAAAGATTTCCATAAAATCTTTAATTTTATCCTATGAACAGTAATTGCTTCATACAAGATTTGAAACACACCCCCAATACATTAGTTTGCAAAAAACAAATTATACATGCTAGAACTAAACTTCCATAGCTCTCTATATTCCTTTAAATTAGCACCAACCAAGAAACAAGAAAGATTACAACCGATAAAATAAAAATAAAAATTAACATAAAAATATATTAAATATGCCTCATATCCCAAACAAAGAAAAAGAGGCAAAAGGCAGACCAACTTAAAACCCTAGCTTCAATTCCAGGTCTAAACACTCTTTCCTCTTCAAACTAAGTTCAAGATCAACACCAGAGGAGTTTTTCTCTAACCCTTCTCTTTCTCTTTCTCCTTCTCCTTCTCCTTCCTTGAGTTGATGCACTGGTTTCAATTCTCCTAATAAATTCTTCGTAAGAAGCTTTCGACGAGTCTCTTCCTCAACTGGTTTTTGATAAGGATGATATCCATTTTTTACTTTAGACTGATCAACTGGGTTCTGAGCACCTTTCCCTTTCTCGGTCTGGGATCCATCAGCTTGCATGTTCAACCCTGGCGAGGTTCCAGATGACGGATGTTGGCCAGAGAAATTAGATCCAGTCAAAGCCAGATCATCATCGTCGTCGTCGTCGTCGTCTGGAAGAGGATGATTTAGGACTGCTCCTAAAATATTTGGAATGTTTTTCCTAAGTGATCTCTCATATTGGTGAGCATTTTGGTGCCCACCTAAGGCTTGACCAGAAGGAAAAACCCTGAAACAAATAGTACATACATAACATCTAGGAACAGAAGAAGCTGTAGTATCACCAGAGCTTGAGTCTCCATCCATAATGATAAGAATTGAAAAGAAAAGTTAATGGAAGCAAGTTGTTGAAGAGAAGGGAAATTCTCTGTGGGAGAGAAAAATAGAAGAGAGTTCATAGAATTGAAGAATATAATTATGGCAGTGAAGGCAATACAATAATTATAAATTGGAACAAATGACAGGTTATTTTTTGCAATATATATAAAGGAACAAAATAAAGTCATTTTAGTAACGTTTTTATTTTACAACTAGGCATGGCTAAAAATTAGGAAAAAGACAACAATTATATTGTTGTGTGGGGTTTTAGTAGTAGTGAAAAATCTCATAGAAAATTAATTTATAATTGATAATTGTTAAAAAAATTAATAAAATATATAATAAGTAATAGTTGATTAAAAAATTTTCTCATATATATATATAATGTACATGTAATAAAGGTTTTTTTTTTTATATAAATTGAGAGGAAAAAATAACAAAATATACAAGAAATACCACCCTCCATATGACTTTTATTAACTTAATCGTATATTTATTTTTATTTAGGTGACACTTTTAGAAAATCAAAATAACATTAATTATTTTATTTCAATTTTACTTTTATCTATAAATTTACACTGAACTTGATCTCAATTAAATAAATATTAATTAAAGGATAAATTTAGTTAATTATGTTTTTTTTTTTTTTTCAGAATTGAGGTGATTCAATTACTCCCTTCATTTCATATTAAGTGTTGGTTAAGAGAATTTCACTAGAATTAAAGAAATCATGCAAAATGATTGATAGGGCTGTAATTTTACTAAAATGCTTTTTAATCAGAAATAATTGAATAAGCTAAGTTGGCAGAAGAGATTGAAAAAAGGCAAAAAATTAATTGCATTTACTTGAAAATACTTGTATAATATTATTTAAATTTTATCAAAGAGATATAAATTTTTTAAAAAAAAATTATTTGCTAAATGGACTCTTAATAGGAAATGGAGGGAATATTTTCTTAGTTTTTATAAAAAATTATTTTTAAAAAATTTTTTATAAAAAGTTAAAAACTGTCTAGTATTATTATGTACATACAGTCAACCCGGACTCAACCTTTGCTGTCAAATGGTGGGTCCCATATCTTGCATGGACGCAACGTCTCATCAAACAATCACACTTAATTAGACTGTACTGTACAGTTTAAATTCCACTCGCTGAAGCTAATTAACCAGAGAAATACAAATTGCCAAAATAATAATAATAATAATAATAATAATTAAGAATATATTGGAACAAAATGAAGTACTCAATGTCATTTCTCTTCTCTCAAATCAAAAAGCCTTTCACGTGATTTGGGTGTTCTTCCCGTTGTCATTAAGCTCTAATTAATCTCTAATAAATCAAAAAGCCTTTTTCAACGGTGATTTGGGTGTTCTTTCCCGTTGGGTCAATTAAGCTCTAATTAATCTCTAATTATATATATATAATATATATATTATATATATATATATATATATATATATGTAATATCCCGCATACTGGACGTGGATCGAGTAAAAATTTTTTTTTTCTTATATATAAATCCGCATACTGACGTGGATCGAGTAAAATTTTTTTTTCTTTTTTTTGTAAAATTATATTTGACAGTCAAAAAATTATAATAGAGTTATGTGTATATGTTTTATCTTCTATGTCTAAATCCTGTACCCATCACTCCAGCCAAGGAGGTTCAAGAAGCTCTTGTTCCTTGTTGAAGCTGAAGATTTAAGAAATCAAGTTAATTTGATTTACCCAATATTAGCCATGCTATGGAAAATATTAGCCATTAACATAATCACACTGTTAATTTTTCCAATCTAATCAAAATCTGATAATTTATATTGGAGTTACCATCTAAATTAAAATTTATGATATACATACTAAATATATAATATATCTGTTCTGTTAATTAAGAATATTTTTTAATATTTTTAATACATACATGCTTTTTAATGTTTTTTTCCATTTAATAGACAATTTTAGGAATTTAAGATAGTATTAATTATATTATTTCAATATTATCCTTGTCTAAATAAGATATCCCAATCATAATTTATTCATCTGCATTATAAAAATTAGTAGAAGGGTAATTTAGTTAATTGTCCTTATCTTTTTTTAAAATCGATATAATTCAATTATTTTCTTAATTCGTATGAAAAGTTAAATTCTCTAATATACTCTTGTTACCAATTATTTCATTTGATTAATTAATATTTAATAGCAATATAAGAGTATATAAGAAAAAATGTAAATAAAATTATTGTTTAAAAGTTAAATGAATAAAAAAATCATATACTTAAACCTTTTTCTTTTTTTAAAATTTTGACCGGTACTTTTAATCATATCAATTAATACCTTGTAACTTGTACTGATTTATTTTTATAACTATATAAAGTCTTTGTTATTTTTTCATCATATTTTCATAGTCTTCGTTACATTTTCATCATGTTTTCATTGAATGAGCTCAATCGTTCACTGAATAGATTTTTAATTTCACTATATAATAATAATCTATTTATTTCTATGAAAAATAAAAATGAATCTATTTTTAGAGGATGGATGAAATATTAAGAATAATGAAAATAAAAATAGTTAAGAGCTTTATAAAATGAAGACAACAAACAATATTACATTTTATTAATTACTCCTTAATTATCATTACATTACAAAATTAAAACTTAAAAGCTTAGGAAGATAACTAGACCATATTGTCTTATAATAGAACTATAAGCAAACTCTTTTTTTCTCTTTTTTTTATTGATCATTACATATATATAATATTTGATTAGTAATAAGAAAACATGATTTTATTTATATTTTTTTATTGTTATTTGTATTTAGAGCTTCAAAGTCAGGTCCAATTGTTTCTCAAAGGTGACTTTCTCCTTTCCCTTGTCACCATTATCAGTCCATGCATGATCTCCCTCATCACCATCCTCATCCTCATCGTAATCGGCTTCATCATCGTCGTCGTCTTCGTCGTCAGTATCAGTATCAGTATCAGTATCATCATCATCATCTTCCTCGTCTTTCTCATAATCAGCCTCCCATTCCATCGTCACCTTCTCCTTGTCTGGAATCTTGACATGGCACTCATTATTAAGATTAATTTGTTGTCCAGAAACCATATTAGCAGCAGAAAAAGGAGAAACAAAGTTAGGAGATGCTAAAAAGCTTTGAAAAGCGAGAAATTTCTGCAATTCTGATAAAGAAGCAATTTCACTATTATTTTCTATAACATTACTAACACTAGGGCAGCTTAGCATGTCAAAGCGAAAACCGAAATGGGCATTCTGAGGAATGCGGATTCCGTCTTCAGACGGTGGCAGTGGTATTGGAGCAACCCTAATTGGTCGAGGCTTGAGAACACGAGCAGAAGGGAAAAGGGGGGATTTGCCTTTTCCACGAGCGCGGGCTTGAGCTTTAAGCTTCCGATATTGGATCAATCTTTTACGCAATGCATTGCGTTCTTTGCGATGAGCTTTTTGATGGCGGCGTAAAGATTGAGAGGAAGGGAAGCCTTTTGAGCAGTGGGGGCAATGGAAACTCAAAAGAGAAACCAAACAACTTGGATTTCGAAGTGATGGTGAGTTTGAGCTCTCACAAGAGTTGGCTTGGCTTTGGCTTTGGCTTTGGCTTTGCATGATGAGAAACAGAAACAGAAACAGAACCAGAAAGAAGATTAGTAACTCACAAGATAGATATATATATATAGAGAGAGAGAGAGAGAGCGAGAGAGAGAGAGAGAGAGAGAGAGGCTTGGTGTGGTTTCAATGGCTGAGGGAGAAGGCTATTTATCATGAGTTGTTTGGTGTTAAGCTTAATTAATTAGTAATTTAAAGTTAATTTTTTGGGTAGGGATTTTACCATTGCTGGTAACGTTTCCTGAAATTATTCACTTACCAAATAAGGGCGAAACTGACTTTCAAAAAATAAAAAATAAAAGAAAAAAGAAAAAGAAGAATTGAAAGTAGAAGTGGGGGTCAATTTATAAATATAAATAAAGATGGTATTAATACTCAGTGAATTAAAATTTAATGTAGTATGCATATATAAAAAAGGAATTACTACTATTCACTCATAATTAAAAATATAGAATTAAAATTTAGTGTCTATTCAGTAATTTTAGTTGTTCTAGCAGCTGTTAGCTGTTTTAATAGCTATTAATAGTTTTACTACGGGTTAGCTATTTATAAAAGTGTTCAATACAAATAATTATTTGATTAGCTCTTTAATATAAAATAACAAACAAAAAGTATGAGCAGGAAATAAAGTAAAGACAAGTGATGGATATAGGCATCATAAAAAATTATAAAACACTAAATATTAATGAAGATAACAGGAAATACCATTGTCTCAAATAATTAATTAAAATAGTATTTTGACTCAATCAAAACACTGAACACTACTTCAAACATTGTTGTCAAACAAGGCCTTAGTTTAGTATGGTATAAAAAAAAGAATTAATAAAATTTACCGGTATTTAAAAACTAAAAATACAGAATTAAAGTTAATTAAATTTGAATATTATGTGATTTTGTATCCTATGTATTATATAATTTCCTCACTATTGAAAATATAAATTCTTCTTTAATTTTCATTTAGTGTAAATTAGCTGTAAACTAAAAAATCAATAATTAAGTATTGAATTAATAAAAATTGGAAGTTTAAAGTTGGAATCTAACAGCTTCCCATTTATAAAAAAATTATAAATTTAAATGGTTTATCTATACTATATAATAGAGCCATTCTGAAAAAGAAAAAAAAAAAAAATGTAACTTGGGAGGGGAAGTGAGACTTGTACATAGTGCATGCATTTGTGAAGTGAGACGCCTGTGAGAAGATGAGTGAGATTCTAACTAGGGTTAAAAGAATTTGCTTTCTAGACTTACAAATGGAATGTTTTTAGCTTCACACTCCTAACCCTAGTTAAATTATTTTGGTTTCATTTTTATTATTATAGATTAATTCATTGTAGCTTAATGTTTTCTTTTAGTATTAACTATGTGATTAATTGTTATTAAGCTTTTAAGTGAAAAATAATCAAAACTCAGTAAGTGTAAGTAAATCTTATTTTGAAGATGGAAGATATAAAGTGAAAAAATAATCAAAACTCAGTAAGGTGTAAGTAATCTTATTTTGAGATGGAAATATATATATATATATATTTATATATTATATATATATATATTATATAATATTAAGTTCCTTTTATATACAGGTGGTCGATTCCGTAACAGCCAGCCTCTTAATATGGTAACATTAAGTCTCATTTGATACAATAATTATATAATATTTAAGTTCTTTTATATACAGGTGGTCTGATTCCTAACAGCACCCTTAATATGGTAACATTAAGTCTCATTTGAACAATAATTTAACGCAATATTACAAAAAAAAAACATATAAGTAATATATAGACAAATTGCTGGGATTTTTGTCATTTTACATACTAAAACAAGTAAAATCTAAAAATTTATAGTTGTAGACAACAGCTCTTTCTCCCTGTCTCGAGTTTCGGGTTATGGTAGGTGGACCAAAACGACTCAGTTTTTTTGTCTAATTCATACTTTTATAGGTCAACTTATATGATTCCCGCTATTATCAGCACTAACTTTTGTTTTTTTATAATTAATTTCTCTTACACGTTATTAATAAATACTTATTCATTGAGAAATATCGAAAACTCTAATTTTCTCTTATTAAAAAAAACTCTAACATATCAGAGAAATCAAAGTTTAATCTCGTTAAAGACATTCAAAAAATATAAAAATAATATTTATGATAAATTATATGATAAATTGCAATATTAAAATTACTAATAAGTGTATCAAACACCTGAATAAATTAGCAAAAATGATTGTATTTTCAGACAATATTACTTGCAAGATCAAGAACTTGAAATTTAGAGTTATTACTGTTAAGAAGTTTTTTATTCCCTCAGTTCCAAATATTTGTCAAATTTGAGATTTCATTTCCTTTAAGAAAATCATTCAATTTATTTAAATTATAATAAATTATTGAGTGAATTGACTATATTATCTTTATTTGAAAACACTCTAATTTTTTAAACAGAAGTATTAACTTGAGTTTGAAAAAAGTGTGCAAATAAATACAAAAGAAAAAATTAAATATTTAGTAAAAAAGAAAATATTTTGTACGTAGATAAAAAGGAATCATTTTATAACCTACTCGATAAAGGAGTATTAATGGGTTGCTAATGCCCTTGAGAACGAAGAGCCACGTGTCCTCCGAGGCAAACCAAATGTAAGGTGGTAGGTTTAACGGTGAAACTAAAATGTCAGTTTCTTTCTGCTTTCTATCCCAATAGGCTCATCTTATGAACTCACACAGAAGAAGAGAGCCAAAACCCTTTTTCTTTCTTGGATTTTTCCCTCATTTTTCCATGCCCATCCAAAAATGCAAATATCTGTCTCTCTCTTATACCTCTATATCCTATTTTTTCTCAAGGAAAATTAAATACTATATAATAAAAAATGAAACAGTAAACATAAAAGCATGGCTTAGAAGGTTAGGGGCACATTAGTCATTAGACTCCAAGAGTAGATAAATATTTTAGGAGAGTAAGAACTAAGGCTAAGCCCGATTTGATTCCTAACATCAAATCGAAGTTGAGTTTCTTTTTATTTCTTGGAATTAGAATTGAAATCAGAAGGCTGAAGAACCAAAAATTTTAATTTGATTTTGATTTCTCTATTCTTCAATTCCCAATCCTTTTCTATTTAATTGAAGTAGCTTCAGACATTGTTATATAATAACATCCATAATGGTGCCTAATTTTTCCATAAAATAATTTTAATTATATAATTATATAATTAAAATATGCTATCATAATCTAAATATACATCTATGAATTATTATATTGTTCAAAAATCAAATACAATGAGAGAGGAAGTTTGGACTACATAATATATCTAAACATCTTTAAAAATTGATACTTAATGAATTACAGAAATAATAAACTGAAATGGTAGCAAAAATAAGATGAAAATTGTCTTTTAACAGTTGAATAAGACATCATGTTGTTCAATACATAGCTTCCCTACAACTCCTATAATATAGAAATGTTGCTCTTTTCAGTATCTAGTTGTTGAATTGCTGCAAATAATGTATTTTTTTTTTAAATATAAATTATTATTTCCACCAATCAATCAGAATCATCTTCCATTTGCATCGAAGATGATCGTTGAAGGCAATTTGGGAACTTAAAGGTTAGGGTAATCAGAGGCTTGTTATCAGAAAATCCTTTGCATGCAAATCCAAAACTGTATCCCAGTGCAATAGCAACTGGAACAGCAACAGCATTGCCAACTTGTATGTACCTGCAAATGGAAAGGAACTGAAAGTGAATAATAGAATATAAAATGTGAACTACATCTAAGTAAGACAATCTAAAGCTCAGAACTTCTGACTGAATTTGATAGAGATGGATGGCAAACTCTCTCCTGCCCGGAATTCTGAGGATGGGTTTAGGTTTTTATGCCAACTTTAAAATGATACATTTCTGTGTAATAATACTGAGTTTTATAAACATGGAAATTTTGTTTGTCTTAAAAACATTACATTTATTACACAAATTATTCATTCTCTCCAATGATATAAATAATATTGCAAAATGCATAAATAAATTCAAATTTTAAGCATATATAGATTCATATAGAGATTCATATATAAATTCATCCTATTTGGATTTCTATGGTATCCTTTTGGGTGTTAAGGGAAGTACAGAAAAGTTAACAATCACAAGAAAAAAACAAAGAATGTAAGATGGCTTTGCTGAATAAAATCCCTAGGCCAATTCCCTAATGTAGAACAATCATACCAAACAAACTTGAGGATGAGCCTATGTATACAAGAAACGCTGACCTCTCCTTCACAGGTCCATATAACTGATAGCAGTCGGGGAAACCTTGTAATCTTGCATTTTCACGAATTGTGAGTACTCGATCTTGCACAGGATGAAGAACCACCTAGCACAATAATTTCTTTTAGACATACCAATCCAAGAGGACATACACATGAAACAGCATAAGATATGTATACTATGTTGAATAATGAAACCTGATTGTGAGGTTCTGCCCTTGTCACAACAGTGGCAACAACTTCATCCCACCACAAACGACCAAAAGGCCTACATTTAATTGATATATAAGAATCTACGCAAGAAAACCATCCAAGCAGAGCTGAAATGTATATAAAGTAAAAGTACTAACTTTTGAGAAGTCCCACGAACAAATGACATTGCATAATCAGGAACCTATAAATATAATTCAAAAATGAGAAAGAAATCCTGGAGAAGAAAAAATTAGGAGATGCACAAGGATATGGTACTTTACCAAGGGCTTGCCGGATGGAAGCATTACTCTTTCTATTGATGGGTCCCATTCCACCTTGTTATCTGAACCAACCAAGACACCGGGTAGATCCCTGAAATTTGCACCCTAGGAAAAAAGAGGCAAAGTAAAGAACCATGGAAGAAATGCCAGGAAAGATCTTCATGTAACCATTCATGTGGATTAAGAATAAACAAATTAGAGAAACCTTCTTCTTTGGAATGCGGCACACTCGTTGATAATCATCAATGTTCAAATTTAAAGGTCGATGATCATACAACTTCCGAGGACATGATACATTTTGAGCAGCAGCAGTTGTATAACCTACTAGGTCTACATTCAGAACAATTTGTCATTAAGAAGATGACATCACAAACCAAGTAGATAATAATGAAAGTATGCAAGAATTCTGTTGCTCTTTCCATCACAATATTCATCATCTTATCTCCGGAAAAAAAATGGCCATTTAAACATCTAACTATTGCAGAATATGAAGACAGGCATGGCTGACATGTGATTTATCTACTAGATCCAAGTCCGCAAGATAAATTTTTTGGTCAGCTATATTGGTTAGGCAACATATGAACAAAGGAGAAACCTAACCTCAATCCCTTTGAACTCTACTCGCTTTTATGTAGAATCTGAAGCAACCTTGTTCAAGAACAACATTTAAATATGTTTATTTTTGTTCAAAATTTTTAAAATACCCAATCCTCAAATAAAAGTAACATTTTAGATATTAACTTAAGAAAAAAAAAAGCAAACACTTCACCTTTTTAACAAAAGAAAAGTCCAAAGCTAAATGCAACTTGAAAAGCCCCTAAGCATGAGCATTAACTAGTAACTACCAACAAAAAGCCCAGTAAGAGAGACGGAAAAATGACTGAAGAAGATAAAATGCACATGAAAAGTATGCTTTTTCAAAGTCTAGTGGCTGCTCATGCTGAAAACTTAGAATCAAACTAACCAGAAGCATTAAGACAAGATTACCATTTCTTTTCAATCTGATGTATCTTTGAAACTCTGTTCGTGCAGTTGTCCCATACTTTCTTTCATCTTGACTCTCATCATTTGTCACCTAAGATTGACCAAGAGGATATTTCTGTGTTAGGAATTCACAGCTCAATATTTTCTTTTCCAACAAAGAGACAAAGTAATCAATATCACAAGAAAGTAAGACTCATACTTGCGGAAGATCCGATATTGCATCTGCTAGATAAAGAGCCTTTTCCAATTTACAAGGATGGTTTTTGTCATAGGCAACAGCAATTTCCTAGATTCATGTAAAATCACAATGTGAATATTTTATAGAGCCAAAAACAATGCTTAATTTTGGCATCATATATACCTCAAATTCATTTGGAATGCCTCCTTTTGCAACAACTTCATGTGTCGGTAATGGATACTGGGGCAAGCTCTGAAATTCATATCAAGATCAGTAAGACTTGTATTTTGTTGCATTAGAACAAAATTCAGAAGTAGACTTGCCTCCAATGGATGAGAACCCCACAAGAAGACCCGCATTCGAAATTGTGGCAGACCATATGATCCTGCAGCCATTATTCCTAGTCGAGCTTGATAGTTCATATTAATAAGACGACCAAGGGCATAACGCCCCAGGAAGCCACCAGCAAACCTTAAAATATCTACAACATTTTCCATGAGGACATACTTAGGCTTTAAATACTCAACAATATCCATGTACACCACCAGTTGATGGTTCTTGGGATCATCCAAGGGAGCATTTGAATTTCTAAACCGGTTAAAGCCACTGATCCCCTGACATGGGGGGCCTCCACATATGAAATCAGCATCACCCTATATAAACATGCAGTTGAACATAATCAATTGTGAAGGAACATCATTCAAAAAAGTAAATGAGAACCAATGGCGTTTAAGATGGCAAAGTGGCTAATTGGAATGAACAAATTAAAGAACAAAGCACTCACAGGAAGAGGCAAGATGTTTGACTGATAACCTTTTGTCACAAACTCCTTCAATTTGTCTTTGCATTTACTGTTGTAAATAAGAAGGCAACAAGAACAGTTAATATGGACAACAAGGGAAAATTTCAAGGAGGAATGCAGTGATGAGATTACCTCAAGCCCTCAATAGGCTCCCAAGTATCCTCACTCGGACCATAACCCTTCCAACGCACCTATATGATTTCATATATACAAAGCAAGGATGCAAATGAACTGAATTAAGGGAACAAAAGTATGACTAATCCAGAAAAACTAAAGTGAATCAATAAAGATAGCTCCCAAATATAAACTCTTATTAATGTGAATTTTCAACCACATCAATTAGCAGGCATCTAAGGCATTCAATATCTAGGCATGCATCAGGCTTTCTGAAATCTTTTCCAATTATCAACCTTCTTCTGTACTAGACCTCAGCAGATTTTCATTGCCATCCTGCAGTAACTACTATTATAATCTCCTGGTTCAACCATCTGCCTTCACAACTCTCTTTTCATATGATGCTCCTTGTGCTCTTCTAAGACAACTATTGACTATTACTGCATATAATTATATTTTTCCTCAATTTTAGCACAAAGATCCAGCATCTACATGTGACAAGAATAGTGAATCCATTTGAGGCTGCAGTCACTCTTAACTGATAGCAAATCACATTAATAACAACCATCAGCTAATTTCAGTTGATGTTATTCATCAAGTGGAGGCTTAGACTAATTTATTCTCATATTTTATTTGCATTATTACAGTTCAATCTTATGTACCTACTGTACGTATGTCTTAAATGAAAGATTAGCAGTTCCACTTTCATTCAACTTAGCCTTATGAATCGTTATCTACTTTCACAATTCATACACAACTAAACAAGATTAAGAGACATGAGTGTTCAAATGTGATTCACACAAAGATTCAAAGTTGATAGCTGTACAAGACTATTATCTATCATATCCAAAACCTCAAAATACTTCATAAACGTTGAAGACTGTACTACCTGTAAACTCATAATCCGTTCAGTATTTAACCAACTTTATATAAGTCAATTTCCTAATTGAATTGTTCAACGTATTAATTCTCACGGCACTTAGCATTAAAACCCTCATTCATAAAGCTTCCATTTGCTTCCAAAATCCATGCTCTCCACAATACTATGGAAATAATAACAGCACATGACCAGTTACCAACCTTTAAAAATAAAGTAAGATACCTTAAAATATAACCCTCGTTTCCTGACTTTGTTAGGATCACCAAAACAAACTGCTAATAGCTTATGCACTTCAAATTCTCCAGAAGGAACTTCAGAGTCATCATCACCATCGTTATCTCGGTCCTCTTCGTCTTCTTCATCTTCTTCATTGCTTACAGAATTAGAACTCTGCTCAGCAGGTCCCTCAGAACCAAATGATGAAAATTTCCTACATAACTTTTCCCATTCTTTTAATAGAGACAAAAAGTCTTCTGCTGCCTCATTCCTCACCTGTTGATCATTAAGGATTTGAAAATTTTTACTAGAGCTAGACAAATTATCATATTACAAGGGATGTTGGCAAGAGTACATATTTTACCTCAGTTTCAGGGTGGTTCATTTTCAAACTTTTGCATGCATTAGGATTTATGTCAACAGCCCATTTCTGTATTACCAAACACAAATAAACATATCCCTATTAGCAAATAGATATAATAAGAATAATAGTAGCAAGTTAATCACAAAAGCTATTAACTTTACAAGAATTAGCACATCATTAGGTGCAATAATGCCAAAAAAAGAACATTAAATTCACTTACAGTCATTAGTTTCACACCAGACAATGAAGCACCCATGAAAAGGCCAGTTGACATAGCACCACAACCTGAGTACAGGTCCAACAAATGCATCTCTGACTTCTCAGACCCATGAACCTTTGAAGTTTTTTCACTGGCAGCATTAACATCATTAACACTGTTGTTTGAATCGCTCTCACTTGATATAGTTGATGATGAACCACTATCTCTTCTAGCATCATCTGGGTTTCAGCAAACAAATCTTTTAATTAACTGAGCATAAAAAAAGAAATTAAAAAAAATTATAAAAATAATAAATAAAAAAACACAATGACCGAATAGTCATCACAGTTTTGGTATTTATACGAATCCCGGACAAATTTCAGATGATAATACAGAAAATAATGATAATACAGAGAAAAATTCAATTACCGGTCTTCACTGTTTGAAAAGTTAAAAAGGGCAATGTGTATTTCATATCATAATACAGGTCGCAAGGTGGAAGTTCTCTTTCCTTTGCTGCTAAATCCATCTGTAGTGCAAAGTAAAAAAAAAATGGAATCTCTTAAAACACAAGAATATTAAACAAAGCAAAGGTCAAAATAATATAACAACAAGCATGTAATAATCATACATTTGGTGAGACTAGAGCAATTTTGATTTTTGAGACAATGCAATTTAATGGGTTGTCATCTTTAATCTCTGAAAGAAACACCCGTCTGCTTTCTGCAGGTTGTACATGGTCCTTGATAACCTAGGAACATGTAAAAGTTCAGATTTTATAGACCAGAAACATTATAAACAAAACAAATAGATAATGAAATATTCATCTCACAGTGTCTTCAGTTCTATAAAACCACTGAGCAGTAAAATATGGCTCTCCATTAACAGCTTCAAACAACTCCACAATTCTAGCAATGTAATTGGGACTGCCATCGTCAGCCTGATACAACATGACGCATAACAGTCAAGCACATTATGACAAAGAAAAAGTGCGACAATGAAACATTATGTTACCAGAAAAATACCAATTTAGTATAAGACTGTTGATTATTCCAAATCTACACTACTTTTAAGAGTACAGATCAGTGGGAAGTTAACTGTTCATAATATTACTAACTGGTTCTGTTTTATTAATATAAATATAATATAAAGAAAGGCAGCTCAATTGAATGCAAGAATAATCAAATTGTAATTTTGATAACCAAAAAGAAGGAACTAGAAGGCATTTACAAAAAATGGATGGGTTTCCTTTGATTAAGAGGAAGGAACAGAAAGTTTTAATTTCTACTCAATTCTTAAGTGTTAGAGAACAAAGCCCAGAGCTCAATAAAACTAAGCAAAGAATTAACAAACAAAATTATCTCCATAGAGCAGTTGTACAGAAACACACACCCATGTAAAAGCAATTATACTGCATCAAGCATCTCGATTAGGATTTAAAGTTTCCCCTTTTCTGGTTTAGATTCCCAGGAAAACCCAAAATAGAAACGAGAAGAAATTTAATTTTCTTAAGCCAAAAAAAGATACAGAGAGAGGGTATTGTGGTCGCCAAAGAGCAATACTTTGACGTAGGCATCTTCTCCAAGATTATATAGAATACCATCCACTGTTGCTTGTTTATAGTGGTATTTTGCTTGCAATAAATCCTCCGCTTCTCTTGATTCCCTTCAGAACCCAACAAAAAAATTACATAAATTAATAAATAAACAACGCCCCGAAAAAAAATTCTCTCAAAGAAATGCCTTTAGAAAACCAAAAACTTACCCATCAGCAGTCCCAGTGACAGACCCTTTCACTTTATTCTGTGATGAAAAAACAAGCATATGAATAAGAGACAAAAAGAAAGAATTGCAGATAACGGAACCGCAAATAAAAAGAGAGAGGATAAGAAAAACCTGGGACTGGTAGCGGAGCGGCCAATTTTTACGTGCTTCAGCGGCCGGAATGGGTTTTCCGACGAGCGACAACTCAGAATTTACCCGTGCTTTTTTGGTCTTTTTAGCTCTTGACGACAAGAGAGTAATGGGATCCCCTCCTGCCGTGGAAATAGGGTCGTCTTCTAGCTCACGGGTCTCCCGTTTGCTGGGTCTGCCCATTTCTCAGTTAAAAGAAAGAAGTTTTGTTTTTCCCCCTCCTATCCCAGAGAGTGGAAAGACGGAAGACACTTGCGTAACGGTTAAAAATAAAAAGTAAATTTGAATTTCGGAATGGGCGGGAACTTGGATTTCCCGTTTTACTCGCGTTGATGGAGGGTTTATATATAGGAACAGACCACTAATAACATTTAAAAAAAAAAAAAAAAGAGTTACACACATCACGTAGGACGTAAGTATGAATTTTCAAATTTTGTTTTTTGTTTTATTAAACATCGAATGCATTTCCAATTTCTATTAATCTTATTGAAGTCTAATTTAATTTTAAGCTTATAGCTAAAAATTTATTTGTAAGTTTTACCAGTTCTAATAAAATTTAATATAAGTACAATTACTTTCATAAAATTGATAATTTAAGTCTCTAACACGAATCTCTATATCAAGTAAGCTTTTATTAAAATCTATTTAACATAATTTAAATGAATAGCATCAAAGTAGTCTTTTTAATCATGTACTAAAAACTTAATTGTCCTGAGTACTTATTTCATACTATAAATAATATTTATCACAGCATAAAAAAGTTAAAAGTTCGAATTTTTTTTACCATAATTGTTTTCACCAATTTGATAAGTTAAAGGAAAGGCTACCCATATTATGTGTCATGTCGGCCCATATAAGCTTCTGATAAATTAAAAAAAAAAAAAAATTAAAAGTTCAAAACAACCTCATCCTTTTAAATATTTGTAGCATATCAAAGAGAAAAGTTTGATATGTTTAGGCTTATTTAAATTTTAAAATTTTCTCAATGACAATCAAAATTTTTCTCCTTTTTTAGTATTGAAAAAGAGGAGATTCCAAAATGAATCTACAGACATATCACATATACATTTATCATTAGACTATGTCTTGATGTGCAATGACAATCAAATTGAATTAAGCCGAACTTGAATATTTTGCAAATGAGTAATTGAAAATGACCTAAATATGAAAATCAAAATTCGATTAAACTCGAATCAAGTTTTATCATTCTCGAGCTTTGGACTTATAATCAACTCTATTCAATTTAGACTCCTAAAATTCTAGGACAATTTAGGCCCGATAATCAAGTGCCTACAGAAGACAATTGAAGCATCAAAGGAGGCTGGGTACTTCAGCTCTTTGCTGGAAACAAAGCAGCAACTCAATTTTTGTCAAAGCAATACAAGGTATTGGATGCTTATCCAACAATAAACTTGTTCATATCATTTATCTCAAGTCAGGCTTCACCACTTGGTGGCCTGAAACTTTGTTTGACAATTTAAGGACCAGAAAAGATCTTCAATAAGTTGTAGACAAGCAAGCAATACATAGAATTAGTTGTATTTTACATTCTCATGAGCTAATATAACAAACTATTGGCATTCTGTAACAAATAATAGCAGTTTGGTCCCCTAAAAACTGAACAGCCTACCCTGTGTCAAACAATGTAAATTGTAACATCATATCCTACATTTCTATACCATATCAATTCAGCATGTTATAAAATAACTAATGGGAAAAAGCAAAATACTTCAAAGATGGAAAACCCCGAAACTGAGTTGACTATTCAGTTGGCTAGAACTTCTAAGGGCCTATTTGTTATAGTTTTAAAACAATATATTGAACCTCCGTCTTATTCATTCAAATAATAACAAATAAACATGTTTTGAGCTGAATTTGCAAGTCAAATTTTGCCTAAATGAAAGAGTTCTTTTTAGAGGAAATTCAATAAAATATGTAACTTATTGGGCAAAAAGATAAAATTGTCTCTATAATTATAAAACAACACTATATACCACTTCTGAATCATTCAGCATTTAAAAATTCAGCCCAAACAAACCGACTCCTGAGAGATCAACTCTAGTGCAGTTTTCTTCTGAATAACGTCAACCTTTTCTATTAGAAATAATGAAAAAAGAAACAGCATGCCAAGTTAAAAAACCAAATTCATCCAGCTGGTAACCAAAACAAATAAGATCTACACATAAGCATGCTTCCACTATGTGGGAAGAGGAATAACTAGCTAGGTGTACCGAGCCAACAATTTATTAATTGCACAGCAACATGGGACACAGACAACAAGTACAAGGAAGTATGCAAGATTAGCATGCTAGTAAATGTTTAAACAAATACATAGTGTGTAAGACTACTAGAATAATGAGTTTTGCTGGAAACCTTTATCTGAGAGCCACAACCTGAAGAAAAGATTCAAGAATCAAGATTCACAATAAGTTGTGGGTACTGTTTGGTTCAACATTTTCCATTTTGGATTTTGCTATCTAAGAAGTAATTTAGCAAAGGTGCAAACAAGAAAGCCAACACAGAATAATAGAAGAAAGAAGTATTTGCAACAGAGAATTTGCCGTCTGTTATCTAATCAAAAGGCGCCTTCTGAATTTATAATAGCAAAAGCTAAAAAAACGACTCTTATCATGTCAAACAAGCTGTTAACTTTTTCTCCCCTTTCAATATAATTCACAGCAATAAGGAATGCAGCACTCAAGAAAAAATGTACAAGCCATTCCAACACTTGGAACATCTAAGGAAAGAAAGAGAAATGGAAAAGATAAGAAGCATCAACAATTTCACTTCCATTTTAACTGGTTATCATATGAAAAACATGACACGTACTAAACAATCCAAAGGTTGCATCTTGACAAACACAAAATAAATCAGAGCAGGACTTGTTAATCATAATCTGTAAGTTGAACTTATAGTGACACCCTAGTCCAAGGAAAGGCAACAAAAGTTATACAAATTGAGATCATGAATACATTCAAGACCAACTTTAAATTAAAACTGGTTGACAGCAAGTTTCTTATTCATTCCTTCATTTTTAACAAATGTCTCCAAAGCAAATGCAATAAACATCCAGTTAAATCATGCACAAGCCCTGTTTGTGAATTGGGAGCAGCAACTTGAGTTTAAGATAACATCTTTTAAAATAATGATTTTTTTCATCATAATTCATGAGCACCGGATGTTTCTACAATCAAGTCAACATTTGTAAATATAACATATAGCTGTAATGGAAATTCATGTCTCTTAAATCCAGCTGAACTTCACAAATCCAGTGTTTATTAAAATTTTAAGTGCAATATGGAGCATATGTTAAGGCAGGATTCAGATTCATATCATCTGTCTGATATACTAATCCTGACAACCAATATACAATAATTTTCCAAACATTACTCAATCAGCATGGACTGTGTTTGAATATCCAGGCAATCACTCATGTAAGCTGTTGATGCAATGCTTGCACAGTTATCATGTATAGCATGCGATGCATATATTGCATGAATGGTACAGATAAGCGATCCTATGGACAGTTGCAGAGTAATAACCCAAACCTATAGCTCTTCCCTAAGAGTCTAATCAAGATAATTATAAGAAGCTCCAAGCCTCCAACTTGCAGTATGTATTAACCATGGAAAAGCATTCAAAAGAGACCTCTGAACTCTGATGCTTAAGTTCATATTGGTCACAACTCAAATGTTAGCATGACAAATATATTTGCAGAACTTTGATTCATGAATACTATTCTATCAAAACTCAAACTGTCATAGGACATACAATGAAATGAAGAAAGAGAATCTTAAGAATTTAATGCATAATTTGGATAGTATAATGTCAAAGACAAAAAAAAAAAAAGGCTAGAAATGAGGAGCTGATCCTTAAAGCAAAAGAAGACTGAAAAGGAAAGCCTCAACCGATGTACTAACTAATTAATATTAGATTTGATATTAAAAAACTCTAACCTTAAATCTTCATATATACTTATTCATGCTGATTGTTGGAGATACACGTAAGCAATGGAATTAGAGATTTAAAGAAAAAATGTCATCCATTAACATTTTGGATAAAGTATAATTAAAAACTAGATGGCATCTTAACAACTCCGTTTCTTAATAAACATATAGCACATTCAATCTTCACAGAACCCAAGTAAAATTCATGGTTATAATAATCAGATTATAAAGACACAAGGCTAAAGAAACTTTGGATTCCATTTGGATAACAAAATCAAATTTTATTAACCACTCATTGCAAATGATTATCTAGCGAAATGGAATTTTATTGTACAAAACAAAGTTTTGAAATTCTATTTGTTGAATATTTCGACATTTTAGTTTATAGATGATGAATCTTAAGACTAAGTTCTCAACAAAATCAATCCAAATACATAAAATGATCATGTATGTGTGCGCAAGTATTACTATAATATTAGTTGTTGCATGTAATTAAAAGAAAAAAATAATTTAGGCAAACATCAGAAAATTGTCTATAGAATTATCAGCTAATCAGAATCAGTAAATAACTAAACCTAATTAGCTAATCAAAATCAGGGGAAAATCCTAATTCGAACTAAACCAAGAACACTTCATTGATGTTGCCCAAATTACAGTTATAAAACACAACAATCACCAAAACAACAGTGGAGTGTCATCCCAGTTTTTAGAGAATCCAATATCAAATAATTATCCATCTACTCAACAACGATAAGTCCATTTATCCTACTCCTCACTAGAGAAACAGATAATTATGACCTAAAAACACTAAAAATTAATAGACTGTCAAGTATCAATAAGTGAATAACAGCAAACCCGATCAGTTCGTTTTTGGATCAGGCATCGGGAACAATCCAGCCCCTGCGGCTCCACGCGGCGGTGAAAAACCTAGAAACTTCTGGAGATTTGTACGGATACTGATTGAACAAAGGAAATATAGAAACGCCATTGAACAATCAGTCGCATCGTCGCCTTGCAATCCTCTATGACTCATCTTCATCACGATCCCTATAGGCTTAAACGGTAATTTTGCCACCACTTTCCCTTCGAATAGCGAATTCAATAATCCGAAAACGACAAACAGTACCAAGGCCACAACGGCACCGGATTTGAACTTGAAGAGAGAGAGATCACGACTGGACTCTTTTAAAGAGCTCTCGACACGGTCTATTTTCTTGGTCTTAGATTTCTTGTTGGTGACTTTGGTGGTTTCAGTTTTCATGTTCTCAAGCTTCTTAGAGGCTTTGTCGATGGAGGATTTGAGAGATTTGTAGGAGTTTGTGCGGTAAATTAAGATCCAGGAGATGGCTTCACAGACTACAGCGGTACACATTGAGATTCCGACAACCGTGAGGCTGTCGGAATACTTGAATGATGAGAGGAATTGAGGCGTAGCCATCGGCAAGCTGTGTTTGAGAACTGAGAAACTAGGAGAAAGGTCTTTCCGGCCTTCTGGGTGAAGTTCGTTCCGACTGGAAATCACCGAGGGGAAATTAGTTGTGTGTGGAGTGGTACAGAATTTTTTAACTTCTTAACTTTCAGTTGAAACTAGCAGCATGGCTGTGCATAACACAGTAAATATGTTTATATATATTAGAGATATTATCTAATAATATTTTAAAATATATATTTAATTAAAAAAACTTTTATTTAAATTATTTTTAAATTTTTATTAATTTTGTTGAAAATTGTTTAAATTAAAAAATATCTATTTCAAATTCAAAACATCAGACTAATTATATAAAAATTAATATCTATAGTAAAATTAAAGGGAAAGGAAATATATATTCGAAACTCATTAATTTAATAAATTTTCTTAGATGATATTAAAAATAAAAAAAAATAATAAAACAAAATGGATAATAGAAATTCAATCATAGACGTATATATATATTAATTTCACATAAACCACTTTCTTTTATGATTTATTAAACTTTTCCTAATTTGATAGAGTAATAGAAATTAGAAAAACAACTATATCAATGTCAAAAATAAATTGTATAAGAATTATTGAAATTATAAAAAAAAAGTTCATTTTACCAAACCTCTAAAGAGTTCTCTCTATTTATAGTCCATTAATATACAATTAATGTGCAATTCAATATGTCATCTTTAAAACTAATAAAAACAATCATATATTGCAATTTTTAGAATAAATATTGAAACGTTTAAACATTTATGGTTAGTAAAACTATTAATAAATATTTTCATCATTAACTTTCCCTATCAATTCTTTTAAATATAAAATTTTCATTCATAATAATAAATGATAATTATGATATTCAATATCAATATTATAATAATATTAATTATTTTTAAATATAAATTTTCATTTTCATAATAATAACTATGATAATTATGATATTCAATATTCAATATTATAATAATTATTTTAATTTAAAAGCATAAAGTTATAATACATTTATTAAAATGATAAGTTATAATACATATATGATAATTTTTTTATTAAAATATAAGTTATAATACTATTAATAATTTAATTATATAATAATTTTAATTATTTAATATATATTAATATGATAATTGAATGACAATTAATACCAATATTATATAATTTTAATTGAGAAAAAAATATGTTACAATATTATAATTATTATAATTATTTAATAATATATATTAATTATGATATTTTAGAATAAATCAAACTATAAATTTCATTAAGAGGAAACTGTATAGAGATATATGATACAAATCAACATGTTTCTGGAAATCTAATAATAAACTATTTATACAAAAAATAAGAAAACACAATCTTGATTTGAAATATCTGATCGAGTTGACAGAGCATAATATTTGTGCCATCCGCGATTGCTTACTTCACTTGGTGGCTATTTGTAATACCCCGAATTTTTATTTTCGAAATTTTCAAATTTAATTTAAATCAAAAATAAGAAATTTTGACAGTGTGGGCTGTAAATGTAACACAGTCTCAACCAAATTTTTGAGTTGGGGCCCAAGCCCAAAAACAGATTATTCGGGGAATTTCGATTAGAGAACACTTAAAAAGTTTCGATGAAATAAAAGGGACTCTAGTTACTAATGACTCTAGTTACTAATTGATTACAAATGTATGTATAGTATATGTATGTAACTGCAATATAAATTAATTGTCTTAAAATCAAATATCATTACTATTAATATTGTATTATAATTGAGTAAATAGAGAAAATATTGCGAAACCAAACTAAATAATCAAAATAAGTCGAACCGGACCCGAAAATCAAATTGATTTTTCGAAAACCAGATGAATAACCTGAAAATCAAGTGAAAAACCTGCAAACTGAGTAAAAATCGAGCCAAGTCGTTGAATCAGACCAATCCCCTCCTCCCTCTCTTCTCTTTTTCTTTTTCTTCTTCTTCTTCTTCTTCTTTCTTTTCTTTCTTTCTTTCCTTTTCCTTCCTTCTTCCCTGCGTCTGTCTTTGTGTGACTGGCGAGACTTTTCCCTTCTTCTTCTTCTTCTTCTTCTTCTTCTTCTTTCTTTCTTTCCTTTTTCTTTCTTTCTTTCTTTCCCTTTCTTCTTCCCTGCAACTGGGCCTGCGTCACTGCCAGCCCCTCCTTAGTTAATTAATTTAATTTTATTAATGATAGTTAATTAAATTTAGTTAGTTTAATTTTAATAATTTTAGTTGATTTAGTTAATGTTAATAATATTAGTTAATTAACTTAAGTTTATTATTTGTAGTTAATTAATTTAGTAATATTAGTTAATGAAATAAAATTTTATTATTTGCAATTAATGAGTTTAGTTAAGTTTAGTTAAGTTAGTTTTAGTGAATGAAATTAGTTAATTGTAGTTAATTTATTTAGTTAAGTTAGTGTTAGTAATATTAGTTAATTAAATTAATTTTAGTATTTGTAGTTAATTAATTTAGTAGTAGTAGTTAATGAAATTAATTTTATTATTTGTAGTCAATTAGTTTAGTTAAGTTAGTGTTAGTAATATTAGTTAATTAAATTAATTTTATTTGTAGTTAATTAATTTGGTTAATTTAATTTGGTCATTGTGAATAGTTAATAGCTTTATAATATTAGTGTTGATATAATTAAGGTAGTTTTAAAATAATGTTATTGTAATGTATAAATTGGATTGTGTGGTGATGTTGAGATTGAAGGAGGATGGGAAAATGTTATTTGATTAATTGCCCGATGGATGGGCCGGTGTGGTTGAAAATTATTAGATTAAGTTGATATTTTAACAGGTGGATAATCCAAATTTTAGGGGAGATGCTGCCGAAAAGTCGGTAGAAAATAAATTGTATTTTAGAAACTAAATTACTTATATCGATTAAGTTATTCATAGAAATTAAAAATATAGAATAAGATTATGAGAGGGATAAATAAACAAAGAAATAAATAAACAAGAGGAACGAATTTATATATAGTTCAGTGAATTAAATACCGACTAAAGTTATTAACGTTAAGAATATTATATGATCAATCATATTATCATTTATTATCATTATTAATATTATTATTATTAATCATATTAAATATTTTGATTAGTAGTATCATAAAATATTAATTACCAAATAATTAGACGTTTTACTTAACAAATAAATTAGAAGAAATAAATCAAATAAAGATGCACTATAGATATATAGTTTAGTTTGATAAGTTAGTGAACCGACGAGTAACGAAAACAAATAAATGAAAACAAATAAATGACTGTAAACTGCATTTTCCAAATTAGAATTCTTATGTAGAATTTTCTTATTATATAGATACTTATAAAGTTTCGGACTGTGAAGACAAAGGCTGGGAGCGCAAAGGGCAGTCCCTTTGGAAGGACCAACAAAAAAACTGTGAGTTAGTGTTAGATTAATTCGCCTCATCCGCCTGCATTCATGCATTCACGGACTTAAATGTTTATCATGGCATTACTGCTATATTGTGATGCACTATTTGTTGATATTAAATAATGTTTGATTACCTGTGATGTGATATTGCTGTGCCTTGTTTGTGTGGAATTGGAATGATGTGGACCACCATGGATTTGTGAGGACGGTCTATGTGATATGGATTCTGAATATGATGTGATATTATTAATAATAATAATATTAATAATGATTTCCTCCCATCCTCGTGCGCGATGCGTCCACCGGCACTAAAATGGAATTCAATCCAGACTACATCTCCTTTGTCGGTTACGACCGATCCCAACATAGGAGTCCTATGTTTCAATTTCCTAAGTTCCGCAATTGATTCCTAAGGCCCAACTTATGCTCTGATACCAACTTTGTCATGATGGAGACCAACCGTGGTTTTGCCTCCTTTGGCATTTTTTATTTTTTATAAAGAATGAAAAACCTAGAAAGGACTGGCAGTGAGGAAATGACCAGTTGCCGTATGGGGTCGTCCTGGTACATGTATGGGGCGCGGCCATGTGTGAGGACAGGCTCGTTGGGGTTTTTGGTGGTGCCATGACTTTTTGTAATGTGAATAATATGAAGGTGTTTTGTGGTTTGCCTGTTGTTGGCCATTTGTGTGACACTTGCTAATCATTTATTTCGTACATAAAATATTTTAGCATTGTAGATTGTGTGGGGTGAAGAGAGTATCTATACCTCCATTGAGTTTTGGTGCTCGAGACGCGCGTGCGCCGTAGTGGCTGATTGTTTTTGTTCCAAGGTAATAGAAGAATATATATATATATTTTGAGAGACAGTAAGTATAGAAGACCTGTAGAATGATAAGTAAATGATGATGGTAAATGTACAGGTAGAGGGTTCCCATTGGTATTCGAGGAGAGAGGTGAAGGGAGCATTAATGAAGAGTGGAAATTATGGCCTGTAATCACAATTATGGTAATAGTTAAATGAGTTATTTATGGCATAATGTAGGGCTTACTACGGTTTCTTCGGGGCGCCTTAAGCCCACCCTAGGTCCTAGTGCCGGTCTTGGTCCCATGGAAATAGGGTCGTGACACTATTTCAATGGACCACTGTTCCTAAGCAATCTTTAAATGGTCTTTTCGATCGTGAGGGAACCTGTCAAATTTTCCTTGCTGGGATCTTACACACTTGATTTCTACATATCTATCCAAATGAATAAAATAGGCGGGGTCAGACAAAATCCATCAATAATGGTAAATGAGATATCCACAATTATGAATAGTAAATGAGATTTGCATAATGTAGGCTTACTACGGGCTTCGGGGGCCTTAAGCCCACCCAGGTCCTAGTGCCGGTCTGGTCCATGGAAATGGGTCGTGACACTATTCATGACCACTGTTCTACTTTATGGTCTTTTCGATCTGATTACCTTCAAATTTCTTCTGGAGATCTACACTTATTTCTACATATCTATCCAAATAATAAAATACGTCAGACAAAATCATCATAATGGTGATAATAATAACTCAAAATTAGATGTAAGAATAAAATTTCAATGTATGGGTGACAATAACTCAGATCTATACACAGATCTGAGTATTATTTGTAAAAAAATAAACAAAAAAAGAAAAGAAAAATGGGTGACCATCGGTGATAGTTCACCGGTGGCTGTCTGTGGAAGAAGAAAAATGAACTTTTAAATT